GATGTAACGTCCCTACCCTGTTTCGCCTGTCTCTATTTATATCTATTTATAGCACAAATAACCTTAAAATCCGTGGGAAAGGGCAGAGAGAATGGGGCAGGCGGGCATCTCTGATGGATGTGATTGTCGGTGGACCAATGTTCAGGCATTGGCTCTTCATTTCATGACCTGCCTGGGTCGATCACGTAATGCGGCGACGATCTTCGCTCGACATTTCCTCTGAAACAGCAAAATTAGCTCAGAGCCCGGCGGTTCATGCGCCGACTAGGGATGGCTAAGTAATGAGTAGGCTGGACTAATTAGTCCCCTGTTGTGTTCATTGATCCCTTGATTCTGTATGCCGTTCCCGAAACTCTCGGCCCTCAGCTCTGCCGTCTTTCGCTCTTCCCACCAACCGTCCCCTCCGTACAGTGCCTAAGCCATCGTCGCCGACGCAGGCTTTGAAAAGGTCCAGGCAGACGCCCAATCTACCTAGCATCCTTCGCACAACACACTAGGTTGGGCTAGCCCATTAGACCACATGTCTGCTTCGTATGGACGATTATAGTACCGTAATAGCGTAGACAATCTTATTTAGTGGACTTGAAGGGTAGATTCATCCTAGTGCGCGGCTCGACGGCACTGGCATCTATGAAGGACTCCTGATGTCTTCTTCACCCGAATAGGCCAACTTACTTGGGCACTGTAGTGTCTCTCCAGCCTACAGTTAGTTGCGTAGCAGCAGTACTATAGTACGTGTTCAGCAGTGGCGTAGAACCGGTCTTGCACTATACCAGGCCCGTTGCTAGCCCGTTGCCTTATTGCGATTAAGCTTGTTACGATCGACGCTTGTGTAGTGTTGTGTAGGCCGTTCACTGGTTCACCCACAACTTCTGGATAGAAGCAAGGAGGAAGAAGGAAGAGAAGGAAGCGACCTAGCTGTCGCGGTCCCGATCTTGATCTCTGAAACCTGGCATCTAGTGTAGAACAAGCGCATGGCCGTAACGTTCTCGTGGCCTTCTAGCGTTGTGATTTGCGGTCATTGACCAAATGGCGGAGAGTATCTCCAGGCAATGACGCTGCTAACTTTGCTCTAGACTAACTTTGCTAGCCAGGACCGCTTCGGATTACTTAACGTGACGCACGTTTTCTCGTAGGAGCCGACCCATTCAATCCGAACACGTGCAGTTGTTTCACCTCAGGCGGTCCCAAGTGGTTTCGAGTAGGCTGTACCTAAGTAAGCTTCTGACCGGACCTCTGTGTGAGGTCAGGCGAGATTGATGGCGGCTTGCAATGAAAGTAAGGCGGAGCGCCAATCACGACGATCATTACTGCTTCGTGTCAAGTTTGTTTGACGCGCTGCTAATTTTGCGAACACTTATTCCTCGGCGGAAGCTCAGCCCAACCGCAACCAAGCTGTCAGGACTATACTTAGGTAGAGCACAGACGCTTTGGATGGTAGGGCAGGTCTGCAAACACTTGCTGACCGCCCTCTTCGTCCCAAGACTAACTCAAACATGCATTACGAGGAGAGTGGCATTATTATTAGTACTATCCAGACACTGGCATAAGCCATGGTTATGAAGAACATAGGTAGGGCGCAACAGAAGAATAGAAGAGAAAAAAAAAAGGGAAAAATAAGGCACGACCGGGACTTCGTAGCTTATGTCAGCCAGACATGGAACAAGGCCTCAGACAAAGTAACCATCGTACATGCCTCGCACACTACTGGAGAGGGGGATTAGAACGCCACGGATGGCACCCATTCAACCTGAAAGATGCTAGTTTCACCAGCCACAACGCATTACGATAGGTATCTACCTAGATCTTGATGATAACATGTCCTGTCCTGCGCACGGAATTGACCGTTAATCGGTGGGTGTCGTCGGCAACTCTGACTACTGAACGTGCGGGGGTGTTCTACATACTTACTTACATACTAATACGTCCCGAGTACGCTTAGATAACCTGATGGGCTATTTACAGTAGCTACGTGTGCCGAATCGTAGGCTAAGGGGGTGTAGAGTAGGTGTAGTAGATGGCTCTTGGCAGATCCATAGCTTAGCTAACGAGTAGTTATCCCACTCTTAGGATTCAACAAGACCCAGTGAGGGCGGGGGATTTGAGGTCAGGTGAGAGAGAAGGCGGTCAACGTTGGATCAAGCCATTTTAGCACACTCTCTCTAGCACCGCCATTGGCAGGCCAAAAGACTGCACGGGAAGAGGAACAACACCAGCAACTACTCCTACGACCACTACAACAACACCAAGCAACAAGGCACCCCGTTGATGACCAAAGATCCAGAGGATGACGGAATAAGCCGTCGCTGGGAGGTGGAGGACCAGGTGGAGGCTGTGTACGTACTTACATACTCTACATAGTATATTGCGTGCTAATTAACGTGGAAAAGAATGTACGAAGTAAGTACCTACTTACAGTAGGTTGTGCTCGGTTGTGCTGGTGCAGGTACCGATGGCCGATAGGTCAAAAAGCCTCGCCTTATGAAACGGGTACTACCACCAGCCCGCCTCGGCACCGCCCACCGATCCCGTCTGGTGATGATGGTGGTGTGTATGGGCGGCGAACAAAGATGTTTACTTACCGTGTTTTGAGGGTTTGTTGGAGAGTCACGATATCCATGCTATCGCATCGAGTATCTCGGCAGTTGGTAGGACACAATGCATAGATGGCTGGCCCCTGAGAAAGCCCTTCCGAAGACTCCTTCGACGCTGTGTTGCCTATCCCTGGGCAAGTGGAGGAATTGCCTTCTTGTGGTAGATACCTACTACTCACTTGTCGAAGGAACACCCCATCCTCCAGGCTAGTGTACTTAGAGCGCGTATGTAAGCAGGAAAGCAGGTAAGCAAGTAAGCAGGTAGTGTGTGCGCCTAATCGTTAACCTCCCTTTCGTTGTTAAGCTTATTTATCGGCTGAGATTGGCAGCGAATGAATCGCCTGGGTTGGTTTCCAGCCGCAATCATGGGGCGCCGGTATTCCGCCGGTACTGTCCAAACCAGCCAACAGATCCGCGCAGAGGAGGCTGCTCAGCCAGCTCGGCTGAAAATGGCATCTGTGGAGAAGCTTCTTTTCTGGTCTCTTGTCTCTTCCAAGGTTGTCTCTTGTCTCTGGCCTGTGGCCTGTGGTCTCTGGGTCCTACATGTACACGATATGTAGACTTCTCACAACTCCCTCAAGTCCTACACTGCCCTGCCAGCGTGCCAGGATACTGCACTACCTCGTAGGTACATCACACACCACGACACTATTACTTATGTGCTACTGCTTGGACACGCCATTAGTCCAAGATCCCTACAGTAGTGGGCTTAGCCTAGCGTGGTGTCTATTCAGTACGCAGCAGATAGCATCTCCTGAGACTACTCTCGACTAAGTAGGTAGGCAGAGTTTTGATGCCGACTTGCTCGCGGGAGAAGTATGGGTGAGAGATTGCCTATCCCCACATCTGTCCCCCAGGGACCTTGTCTGGCCGCCTCCAGGAACGAGCAGTGAGGAGCCGTGAACACAATTATGCCTTCTGGCTGGCACTGCTCGGTACGAATCTACGATGGCAGGCAGAGAGCCCGAGTTCTATCCCGCTCTCGTCTCTGCTCATGCCTGCTCGTGCCGTCTCCAACCTTCCTTAGTAATCCGGGCTAATTCCTGTCAGTACGGTGATTATTCAGTACTGTATTCTGGGCCGCTAGACGACCACGCTATTTCGGTCGTATTTTCCGACCAAGGATTACGTCAGGTAGCTTATCTACAGTACACAATAGTGTCCTTGAGTCCGAGCCATAGACTCGCAGACGTTGTCTTTGTCGTTGTGACCAAAATAGTTCATAGTACCCACTCTAGCAATCTCACAATGCAAGCAATGACGATGAGCGACGATCTGCTTGTGCTGGATGGAGATCAACCACTACCTACGATATGATCGAAGAAAGCAGCTACGGTTAGGACGTAGACGAGGTACTATGTAGAATACCTACCGTAGTCTGTACACCCGGACCACAGCACAGCACAGTATGCAATAACGCCGTTGCGGAACGGACACATCTCTCTTATTAAGGCCGAGAGGTCTAACCTAGGTATGGGGGTTCCGAACGTTCCTGCACCCCGGGGACCGACGAGGTCCATGAGTGTCTTGTCCTGTTTCTACGCCACCCTCGATAGTGCGGTTCTGTGCGGTATACAGACAATATACCTCCTACACTGGATGGACATGTTATACTCATATACATTATCCACTTAGTAAGTAACGGGCGGCGCAGATAAGGTATACACTACTCGTAGTGCGTCTCCTAGCATGGCCTTCCTGACATCTTGACCATCATCGCCCGCCCCTTGTACTCTACGAAGTATGTGAACGAAACAGGCCAAGCTGCAATGTCGCACAGTTGTGCGAGATTAGCATATCTCTAGTCTATGGCCAAGCACTTGCTAAAATCGGTGTCACAATCCTAGCTCAAGGCCGCTCTATCCTACACTAAGGTCAATACGGAATACGCTCAACTCCTGATAGAACACAGCCTAGTGTGCAAGTAGGAAGAATGGTGGAGCAAGCTGGGGCTCAGGAGGTGGGATGCTAAATTGGCCGTGAGTGGCTCCTCTCTTCTCAGACACGGGCAAGGTGTAGGAGTCGCTTGTGTGCTCCCTCGCCTCATCAACCGCCAACCTAATCGGAGCCGAGGGGAGTTCCATACATGCCCATACATGCTCTTTTGCCAAGGCGATAGAAGTGGTGTGCATCACAGAAGCCTTGTACACCATACTTAGTCCCACACCCCCCTGGTACCCTTTGCAATGCTGCAGGAACTGCTACTGGAGGAGATGCAATTTGGCTCTGTGGCGCCATCCAGTGCAGGGCCCTGGTATCCAGGTACCTATTATGTCCATGGATACCGAGTGTCCCCTGTTCTACACAGTCGGCTAGTCCATCTCACATGTATCGAAGTAGTTGAACAGCATGGATGTAGCGGTTGTGGTGAAGACCAGGGCCTTAGTGTGCTGCTCCTCGTACCCCCGTGGATATGAGGGTCTGGCAGAGATTCATAAAGACCTGCCCATTCCTCCTCCTCCTCTCGATATAATTTGAAATCTCCCCGAGCTTGAGTTTATATACCCTGTTCACTTTCAACAATTGTCCAAGTTGAATAGTCGCGTATTATTTTACCCATCATCTCAGTGAGCAATGGCTGCTGTCACTCCAACCCCGGGCAACGCCTCCTCCAAGAGACCTGAGCGTCTCCGGGACACCTTATACGCAGACATGATGAAGCCAGACGAGGACCTCAGCAAGATGGCCGACCCTGCAGAGCGTAGAAGGATTCAGAACCGTCTCGCTCAGCGTGCTTACAGTAGGTGCTCGAAAAGAAGAGTCCTACTTAGTTGAGCCTCGTAACTAACCAGAATAATCAGGACGCAAGATGAGGGAACAGAAGAATGAGGTCGAGAAGCTGAGAGATCAGATCAAGAAGCTACAAGAAACACCCGAGTCTAGCAACACCAGCAGGCAGAGCACACCTTGTACACCACCAGAGAGCAGTGGCACTCCTGCCATGCCCACGACCTCCCTGTCACCGCCCAACTTTGAGATTGCCAACACACCATCAGAACACCAGTGGGTGGGAGGATACTTTCACGAATGGCCAGCAGCGCCAGCCGCACAAGAGAGCTTCATGACCGGCTTAATCTCTCCCACAGAACTTGAAGCGCCGCCGCCTTATGACGACTCATTGCATGGTGGTTATGCTTCTGATGGATTTGGTGGTGCCCCTGGCATGATGAAATCACCTCCAACAAGCCGTCAACACCTCAAGTCACGACGAACGTCGTCTCAATCAAAACGGCCTCGCCAGAACCTGCCTCGCAGCATCGGCAGCCCCGGACAACCACCACAAAGCCCACACTCTCCATGGATGGCACCTCAGCCGTCACCAATACCAATGGACATTCACGCTCCACCAGCGGTCATGATGATGGCACCCGAGCATCAGATGCCAGTGTATTCACCCCACTTCGATATCCACGAACGCCCTGAAGAGTTCCATTACCCTTCTCCGCCGCACATGGACGATGCACCAGCCTGGCAAATGGCAACCGCGGAGGGTCTTGCGAGGACCCAGTCAGATTCTAACCTCAGTGCCAGAGCTGCACCGCGATCCCTGCCCGATGCCAATGCACCTATATTGCATCTTGCCGTAGCCGGCGGTCACATCGACACTTTGCGAATCATCCTCAAGCAATGCAACGTCTCAGTCAACGTGCGGGATAGCGCTGGTTACACACCCCTCCAACGCGCCATAATAAACGGCCACACGGACATTGTAGAGCTGCTGCTCAAGCACGGCGCAGAAGTTAACATCGACAGCTGAGCTCCCCTGAGAGCGCGCGTTGAAGTACATGTGTATACGCATTGATGATGGGACCTAGGACTGCATGCATATTTGGGAGTTTACTTGATTTACTTGGCTTGGCTTGGGCCCTCGGATGGGTGAGCCGCACATGGGATTTGGGGTTGGTGGCGTGAATTGACTTTGGATACCCTTTTCTGCGAACATTGGTCGCTTGAGCGCCTTCCTATCCTGTCCTCAAAAATATAGAGCGAGAGTGAGGGAGCAAGGGTTGTCTTGATGACGATGCTTTTTTGTATCTCCATTTGATCACGAGGAACACCATCTGGACTTTGGCCTCCCGATGGTTGGGCCTTAGAGCTGCTACACCATGCTACTCTGTATCTAGACATTATTTGAACAAATGTTACAGTATTACGCAATGCTGCACATACAACTCACATCCATGTTTTGCTCCGTGTCGTGTTTCTCATACACAACCTATGTCAATGCTGTCACTTACTTTGATTCTTCATCTGAGGTTCATCGCACATGTTTTTTCTTGCTCACGTCCCCTGCTTTCCGGCCTACGTGAATGGGAGGCTTCGCACATAGCTGGAGCAACAAATCGGCTCGGTCGGTTACATACCCTGTCACCACTTCGTGTTTGACGCAGGCAGATAACTCGAGGTAACGCTGTTCACCTATATCTACTACACAGTACTGTAAATTAGATGGCTGTCACATGGGGTTGGTGGCAAAACTAGCTAAGCCAGCTATTAACAGGCACGCCGATACTATAGCCAACTCTACTGCCGCTAGCGAATCGGTATCGATGCGGCACCAACTCTATCTACACGTATCACTGCCGCCCTCCAAAGCTGAGATGTTGGGTCACATCCGAACTGGCAACCGCCCAGTGGCAGTCCTTGGCCGCGTTACAGTACTTTATCGTGAGTCACAAGCAGGAGACTGCGGGAGTGACCTGGAGGGAAATAATCGAACCCACTGAACAAGCTTGGGCGCCAAGGAAATATATGCTTGCGTGGCGTTTTCTAGAAGGCCGCAGCATCCATGTCACCGATAACGAGCAAGCGAGATCAAGCACGCAAAGACAATGGCCCAGAAGCAGGTTGTGTCCTGGCTCCCGTCCCCGCCCGCCCGTTCCATAGAGCAGAGTCGCTGGTCGAGACACAATTACCTACATACAACAGCAACGGGGCATACGCAACACTGACTGCGGAACACACACCGACGCTACTGCGGGCACTGCGGGCAAGAATAAGGTTGCCGAAGGGCTATCAGGTTTTTTCTGCCTTCTCTTCTCTGCGCCCCCCGGCTTCACTCCCAGACCTTGCTTGGCCATTTACGGCCAGCTAGAGCTCTGAACCCTGCCGACTCGTCGGCTGAAGGATTCGATCCGGCTCTTCTGGCGAAATCCCTCCACCGCCCCAAGCTAATTAGTGGGGAGCACAATGAGCGGTATTTGGAATTGTTATGAGACAAAGCACCCACGAAACGTGGTGAGAGATACTGGCTGGGTAACGCCTGCATGCGATTCTCATGCTTAGCGGGCCTCGAGGGGTCCTCACCTACTTAGCTAGTATCGAAGACGGGTGCCCTGGCGATCCAAAAATCTAGACTTTTTCCCTAGCCCACTGTGAAAGTCAATACGATACCGTATCAGAATGCCATACGCTAGCTATGTCTAATACACGTTCCTTTGCTACGACAGAATAGTACTGTATTTTCTTTCCGTCATGTTTGTTGGGATAGCCTATCTGTGGCCATGAGCCAAAGTCAGCTCAACTGTCTCACACACCCACCTCTCGACAACAATGAACTTTGGGGAATCATACAAAGCAATAGGACTTAGGCTGCCTAGCACGACACAAGGCATGAATCTGGTTCAACGCTCATTAGCGGTCAACGGCTGGGCTTGTGGTTCCCTCCGGCGTCATGGCTGGTTACGTCCTGGTCTTGCGTCGGTCTTGCGATTGGTGTAGAGCTTGCAACCGACACCCTCGTAACAACACCCACCGAGGGTGTAACTTTGGCGCTCGCCTTGGCGTTCACAAGATGGTTTCCAACTTCCTATCTTGGCCAGCTTCGACCAGCTCACAGTTTGATTAACACTTACTTACTGGTGGATGTGTCCAGCAGCAGCCACTGCGGGTAGATAGACCTGCGGCCGCGGAGCTCCTACTGAGCTTGTATAGCATATGTATGTAGTCGGCTGAAGTTTAGAATGAGCTGAAGGCACCGTCGAGATACAGCGGGCCAGCTGGTTGTTGCCATGGCGTCGTAGCTCAGTGGCTTGTCCCCATGCTTCACGCAGTGTAATGTATGCGATGCGGAATTACATAATAGTCCACGTACTTACAGGAGGGGAACGATCAAGAAAGGAAGAGCGTGCTCCCTGTCACGCAGAATAGAGTGTCTTTAAGCGAGATTCGCTCGCGCTACTGTAGGATGGACATTTTGAGTTATTCGCTAGGCGACCCCGAAGATCCTACACAAGGATCTCACCCCTTAGTGCTGTTTCTAGGCCAATGGACTCTGCGGCATCGAAGAGATGAGGTCCACATGGCAGCGCCTAAAAAGTAAGCTTATAACGTCCCCCTACCACAAGGTAGACATCTCCCAGATACGTCCACATTGGTATCTGCATTGCAGCGTGCCGTCCGGCCATCGGCTATCTTATCGACTTCGTCAAACCTCATTGTGTTCCTCAGAAAGAGCTTGCGTTGAACGCCACTCTCGACCCGTCTCTTCCCCACCACACCTCGATGCGATAACGTGGCAGCCTTACTTCTGGTAGCCCAAAGACACCAACGGCCAGACGCCCGTGCGTGCATGAGCCATCCATGCCCACGCGTTTTGGGGGGGAGGGGGGTTACGCTGTTAAAGTAGAACTTGATGGGTGACCTACAAACACGGTAGGTGAATAGCAGAGCAGCTTGTATGTACCGAACGGAGAAAGATAGCGATGGGAGTCGAACCCCCCCTTATTCCTCGGATATCTGGACCAAGCCAGCTAGCTCGCTTTTGTCCCTTATCAGAGCCGCAGGTCCTTACTTACTTACATTAGGTATGCCTCTTTTCGCTATTCACGTAAACTACTGTACACCCACATCCCACTTACGTCGTTGAGTGGACATCCGTTCGGTTTGGTTGGGCGTTACTAATCAAATGACGCGCAATACAACGAAGACTGACTGGCCAGGAGCGAATGCAACGGGGTGACAAGGGGCAATGACGGACTTACATCTCCTCCCACCCCGAGAAAAAAAAACGTCTGAAACTTGGCCACTCAGCGAGCCTCATGCTCGTAAATGAAGCGATAGCGAAGCAGCAACGTGCAGGAGAACCTTACTTTATCCCACTTGTTCCACCATGCTGATTTTCTTAAGGACTGCCTGATCCAGCGATGCCAGCTTCCTCATGAGTGCTTGGCTGGATGGCTGATGTAGTAAGTCATACGCTTTCCTTTTTTTCCTTGAGAAAGGATATGTAATGGAGTATGGAATAATGTGCATGGTGTATCCTGGCCTATAAGCTCACTAGGTTTTCCTCATTGATTGGCATTTCGAACTAAATTGAGCACGGATGCTGTCGAAGGGCACAAGATGCGTGTTCGTGTGGAGTGCGGCTTAGATCCGTGACGGGGGGGTTCAGAAGCCGTGAACGAAGCTACTTAGGTATAGTAAATGAGAAGACATGATGCACGACGAAAGAAGGCCTTCATTCAGAATTACACTGCTCTCCCAAACTCGATATTCTCTGTATCACGGGAGAATGAACCCAAATGGGAAAACCGAATGCTAATATGCCTAGACTAAGCATAATGCTCATCGAGTATACCACCTAGCACTACGCAACAGCCCTATCAGATCAACCGGGGCGACTTAGGAGGACTAGCAAGACATGCGTGTTGCCTGCTGAACCGATTTTGAGCCTGGTCTATCTGGGGGAAGACTCGCGGTCACTTCTCCGCAGCATCCCCAGACTTGCTCATTTGTTCATCCATCACTTGGGATTCACTTCTAAGCGACTCTGGTTTCAAATAAGTTGAATGAATGGAAATTGGGAGGCCTCGAAAAGGAACGTAGGACGCCACATACGTAATGTTGCTCTCACGATCTTGATTGTGACTGGTCAACAGCAGGCGTCCCTGGTGTTGTGTAGTTGCTTTCTGTAGCTGCCTCGCCTCTCACGATAGTCAACACAGACAGATAGAGGATGAGTAAAGTGAACGTAGGGTCGTAACGCGTGGCAGAAGTGTCCGCAACAAGAAGCTGCAGTACACAACATGTGCCCAAAATCTTGTACCTGCCTAACGAGTGCATATACCGATGCAACCCATGCAAGTGCCGTCGCCAAAAGACGCCGCTGAGCTGGATAACCCCATATGTGTAACATCTATGCTCGACTTATATGACTCTCTGCCGCCACTACGGTGTGATCACATCGTCACGACGTGGGCGAGGTCTGTTATCAACGTCTGGAGAACCCCTTGTCCTTGTCCTTGTCCTTACTATGTCTTTTTCTTCTTAAATCTCTATTTTCTCTTCTTTCTTGATTCGCCCTGGCTCCTCTCGACTTTTCTCACCTTACAGTATGGCTTACTCCAACATCCTGAATGCCACTCTGATCGGAATGCAACTGCACAATGAACCATGAACGGGGTGACAGCGGTAATAGTCTTAGTGTTACGGGTCAAGTAGTCGACCTCTTCTCTTCCCTGCATGTCCTGCCTTGTCGAGGCATGCGTGGCCGTTCTAGAAGTCCACTTGGCCACCCCAGAGTATCATAGGCTGCGTTGATCGACATCTAACCCTGATAACAGCATCTCCGCCGGCATGGCACAGTTGCAACGGCCCTCCGCAAGGTATATCCACTTTAGATGATAACCTATCTTGTTTGCACGCCAGCATCCTCTTCGAGACATACGAAGGGTGGAGCTTGGGCATTCAGAAGGCACAGGAATGTGAAGCGAGAAAGCGGCTTTTACCGTAGCAGAAAGCTTCTTTGCATCTTCTCGCGTGATTTCGTGATGCATGAAGAAGGACCCTGTACTTGTCGCGCCAAACTGTTTGGATTGCACCGGGGCACCCTGCCCGCCCTATTTACGGATGGTTCGGCGCATTTTGCGTTGGGGTGGAGGTATTATTATACGCAGTAAGAACCACGTTCTAACGTTGTGGCCCCTGGTATTCACTAGGAAACTCCATCAAGGAGAAACATATAATTCCAATTACAAGAGGCATCACCGCCACTTCTAGTATATCGTCCGAACTGAGACGCACAATTCGACTGCAGAATATAGGCAGGTAGATACATTCAACATAACAGGCAGCTTAAGGCCAAGGCGCAGCATTTTGAGCTCTCCAATAAGGTCCTTTAACGCTGGCGACGCACTATGAGCAATGGCGAGCAATCGGAGCGTAATATTGCGTTGCCCAGGCTAGATATGCTGGGGGCTCCTGATATGACGGCATTCTGATGCGAGATTGCATGTATACAAGAGAGAAGGGGTACTATTGTATATCGAGACATGCGTTCATCGAAAGAAACAGGCTTCAGCGAAACCCAATGTGGTCTGAATGGTGTTGTTGAATCAAGGCAGAGCTCTACCAGGGCCGTTCGCGGAGATACTCGAGAACCGGCCGATCGTAGCTTCTTTTGACGACTGCTCCCGCACCGGTCACGGTAAGCAGAGACGGCACGGAAGAGGGATTGGGTGAAACGGCATTCGCAATGTGGAGGAAACAGCCAGGGCGGCGGCGAGTCTGGGGTGTCCCGCATTGTGGATTCACTGGTTCTGTACTGTCGCCTGTGCGTGCATCCTGTCGTGATACCACGTCCCATGTCTCGCTTCCAGTACCGAGTTGGGAGCATCCTTGGTGGCGCAAGATTGGCTGCAGGTTCACTAAAGCAACAAGTCGTACTAGGCAAAAATGAGTTGTCTCAATGATACACCGGTGTGATACATGATATTGTCGATGTGTCTAAACACCGCAAAACAGCAATTTGAGACGAGCTTAATACTTGGCAATAAGTAATGTGATGAGAACATAATGCAGATCTTCCTTCAAGGTTGACTGTCTGCCTCGCCGGCACTTCATCTTGAGTACACGCCCCCCTCCCTTTTGCAGACACGTCCCAAAGCAAAGAACAAGCTATTCAGAGGAGGACGAAACCATCTTCGGTGTCTTCACCCCGACTTGCTTGATCCTGATCCACGAGGCCTAACTGCAGCATCTTATCATAAACGAGGTCGGCTATAGCGTACATACCCTCACGCTTTGGATGATATGCATCCCCTTCGCGAAATAGCTTCCAGGTGAAGCCATTGATCCATGGGTCCTCTGCCCCAATGGCGTGTGCCTCGCTCCGGTCGGCCACGTTCACGGTGCTGCACCACTCCTCACGGCCAAGCACGGCCTTGTGTGTCGCTTCTAGCAGTCGCCCGGCCACCTCCCTATGATGGGCGATGCGATCGGCATCAAAAACGACGTCTTCGCCGGCCCGGGTGTCCGGGCCTAATACGGCCTGGTACTCAACGACCAGGACGTAGGCTTCGGGTGCTTTGTTGTGGATGGCGTCGAGCACAGTCGCGTACCGCTCTGCGAGACCATCCACATCTAGTTGAAGCAAAGCGGCGGCATCGGCGCCGCGAAGGTACAATAGCAAACTACCCAGAAAGCTCCGGCTCAGGGTATCCTGGAATATGCCCCCTATATAGCCGATGTCGTTACCACCGCCGAGAACTAGGACAACATCGCAGTCGGGCGGGAGGTCCTCAATCTGTGGAGCGAAACGCCGCCCTCCCGCATACTGTGGGGTGTCAAGGAGGTGTAATAAAGTAGCGCCGCAAACGCTGAGGTCCGTCAGCCTGCCGCCGACGCGCGAGGCGACAATGTGCGCATAATTGAGGGCCGAGCGGCCAGCACTATGATCTTCTTCAGGCTGAATAGCCGGCCCAGCTGCGAAGGACGAGCCAAGGCTCGCGATCCGAAGAGGCATTTCAGAAGATGTGCACTGAATCAATGCCACGTGTTGTTTGCGGCAACACGGCAACGAAAAGGCCCGGTGCCGCGGAGCCCAATGTTTTTTAGCTGAGGATCGCGGCTTACAAGTACCACCGGGGCTTCATTAGGTCGTGTCAAGCACGCACAGGTGCTCTGTGACCTTGAATGTTTGCAGAAATGCCGATGGGGATAGTAAAAGGGATTGGAAGCGGTGAGTAAAGGAAACTCCAACCTCTCTACTAAGTAGATGATTGAAATGCCTTGGATGAAGGTGGGCGTCGCCTCTATCCAAGTTCCCAACCTACCTAGGTATGTACCTAGTGGCTTGAAGTCATGTGGCCGATCAACGGTATGTACCTAAGTAGGTATCTGTATACCTACATGTAAGTATGTATGTACATCTCAATAGAGGTAGGTAGGTACTTACTCAGTACTGTACCTAGTAGTAGGGAGTGGAGTGTACACATGTGATACAGGGCTTCTAATTTGTACCTACATAGGTAGTACATTATGTAGGTAGGTACCACACCTACAGCAACGGTTTCAGTTCACATCACCACACAACAACAAATGTGATGGCTTCTCACACTATATGTTCGTTGACGATAAACTTAGGGGGTTTCTTTTTTTGATGATCTAATACTTAGAGTTACTACATATGTAAGCCTTCTACGCAGGCTCGGGCAATTAGAGAAATCGGATGTCTTGGCATTCCACTTACAGTACCTAGCTGAGCTAGCTAGATCTTCAGCCAGATAGGTAGATCTTAGTAGGTAACCAAACCCACGGGCTCCGCCGTCGACCGCCCGGCACACGGCTCGAAGATGTGCTCTTACCCGAGTGGACAACTCCGTCGCACAACATCGCTGGACCTGGAACGAGCTGCGACGCATCGTGTTTCCGCTGCAAGCTGCAGGAACCGTTTGTCTATCTTTCCTTCTGCGATTTGACTTATAATCATCTTCCGTTGTCTGCCGGGTCTCGAACCTCTCTCTCTCTCTCTCCCCGGAACCTGGAGAGCAGCCTCCTCGCCTGGCAATCAAAGCGAATAAGTTTAATCCAGATCCCTAGAACAACTGTTCGACAATCTGATATAACAATCAACTGATGTACCACGGAAACACGGCTGGGCCATCTGAGTCAAAGAGGCACTATCAGGAGCCAGGCTCAAGGAGTTGTGTGACTACCAGCTACGCTCTGTCTAAGTGTCCCGCTTCGCTTCGATAGTGACGTTGTCACCTTTATTCTCGGCTTCTGTTAGCCTGCCGTAGGAGAGCGGGAAAAGGATAAAAAGCGCAACACAGCACATCTCATCAGCGGGTGATAGACTGAGGAGGAGGCATAATGACACTTCCCAAGCTGGCCAAGAACCAAGTGTTCTTTGGCACCTTCGTACACGCTAAACGCCTCGGTGAGCTGGAAATCCTGCAAAACACCGCCGTGTGTGTTGATACATCAGGCAAGATTGTCGCCGTAGAGGCCAATTGCAACCAACAAAAGGCAGTCGAGACATTGTATGCTGGACTAGGATGGAGTCTCGAAGACATTTCTGTTACTCTGTGCTCGGATACGCAACAGTTTTTCTTTCCCGGGTTTGTCGGTAGGTTATTTCCCACGTCCTGCCCTGATGTTGGCTATGCCTAATCTCTATTTATTGATTACGATTAGACACGCATGTTCATGCCTCCCAATATCCCAATCTTGGCATATTCGGCAAGACAACCTTATTAGACTGGCTTAACACGTACACATTTCCTACGGAAGCCTCGCTGGCAGAGCTCCCTAAGGCACGCAGAGTGTATACACGATGTATAAGACAGGCGCTGGCGCATGGCACGACCACCGCGGCCTATTACGCGACAATCGATGTCAATGCTACCAATCTTCTAGCAGACCTCTGCTATTCCATGGGACAACGCGCCTTCGTTGGTCGTGTGTGCATGGATCACCTGGGGCCAGACTACTATCGTGACGAGTCGGTCGACCAATCCATGGCGGCTACCCTGGCTACAATCGAGCACATCCGCAGCATAGACAGCAACTTCGAGCTTGTGAGCCCAATTCTGACGCCAAGGTTTGCCCCTGCGTGTAGCAGCGAGACTATGAAGAGTCTCTCCGAAATCCAGAAGCAGACACAGCTGCCAGTTCAAACGCACCTTTCAGAAAACGTCAGTGAAATCGAGCTGGTGAAAGAACTCTTCCCAGATTGCAAGCATTACACCGACGTGTATGATACCCATGGACTCTTAAACGAGAAAACGATTTTAGCCCACGCCATCCACCTCACCGAGGAAGAGGCAGATCTCATCGCTGAAAGGAAAGCCAAAATTGCCCACTGTCCATGCAGTAATTCTGCACTTTCAAGCGGAGTGGCGCGAGTTCGTTGGCTGCTCGAAAAAGGCATTCAAGTTGGACTCGGAAGCGATATGAGCGGTGGTTATAGCCCAAGCATTCTCGAGGCGGCAAGGCATGCCAAGTTGGTATCAAATCACTTGATCATGCCGGGAGGAACCCTTAACAATCTATCAGAAGAGGAGCGCAACAAAACCAAGCTGAGCGTCGAAGAAGTCCTGTACCTGGCGACTAAAGGAGGCGCGGAGGTAGTGGGCCTGGCCGATAAGATCGGGACTTTTGAGGTAGGGAAGCAGTGGGATGCCCAGCTCATCTGGACAGGTATCGTTCCTGATGAGATCGCCTATGACGATTTCACGAACTATAGCGCCACGGATATATTTGGTTGGGAAACATGGGATGAGCGCGTCGCAAAATGGGTCTTCAATGGAGACAGCCGTAATGTGAGGAAAGTGTGGGTGGCAGGGCGACTAGTGCACGAGCAACTCTTGAGAAAAGAAAACTAGATGGATGGGCTCTCAGCTAATTCGGACTTAATGGCGTTGGGTTCTTAGATGGCTGGACGAAGGGAAAAGGACACAAGGACAATTCTCAAAATGATAGATGTTTCTATACCCAAAGCTGATCAATAGAGGTCATTTCCGTTTATCAACTGTAATCTATTTAGCTGAACCTGACCGGGTATCAAACACGACACAATCCAGATCAATTTGCAGAACTAGGGACGTCATAACAGAGTTTATAAAGATAAAGCAAAAAAGACTTGGAAGCCAGCCGCTAATTTCAGCATTCTTATACCCAATAGATGCAACATGCTGTGGTTCTATACCGCTGAGTAATTGAATTGAGCAGCTACCAATCTCACCTGAACGCCAAATTCCCATCACCCTTCCAATGAATGCTCCTATATGTATGCCACATCATAAGTGTCTATATTGTAATTGAAATAAATAGATGCATATGCAATTTGAGAAAGAAAAAAAAACAGTAAAGAGGCTAATGAAATGCGTTGATTCTGAGGCCGGTATAATGTCTAGACTCGCGGTAGAGTCTCACTTGAACGTTCAGTGGCATCGATGCTGGTTAGACTGTCTTGATTCCTGGAATCCTGCTCTGAAACTGGAGCATAGCCATTTTCACTAAGGACCACTTTGATTCGATTAGTAAGGTTGGTAGCATCAGCTGAACTGGATGATTGACTTACAATAAGGCCGAACAAAGAGACTAGCAAGGATAGACAACCCAAACAGGGATGCGAGGACGACCACAAACGTCTGCGGAAAAGACTCGATGGTGCCCGCATAGATGCCGTCAAAGATTACAGGCGCGAAGACCCGACTGACAGCATGCAATAAGCCCCCAGCCCCCAGCATGGAACCAACGTATTCGGTGGGGACCTGTTTGGTTAGCATGGCCTGGATTGTAGCACTGGCTAGGCCACCGAACGATGTACATATAGCTGACAAGATAAAGAGCTCTTCAGTCCGTACGAAAACATAACCTAGAACACCGATCGTATCAAATAATAGAGCGAATCGAAGCAACCAGATATCAAGGTTATCGGCGCCAGAATGAGACTCTTCGGCGCGGATATTACCATTTAGCTTCTGTTGGTGGCGTAGTGGGCGAGTGCGGAAGATGTAATTGACGATGGGGAAGAAAACGAGAAGGACGATGACGCGGAAGAAGCTAATGATCGATACGAAGCGGGAAGATTCCAGAGTCTTCCAATCAAACATGAACTTCGCATACAGGATTAACACTGTTCCAGCACCCATAGTCGCAGATATGAGCACCGTGTCGATGAAACCCATGAGAAGTAAATTGCGGCGCAGCCGCTGGTTTTCTCGGCCACTGGGGACGAACATCTTAAGAGGTGCCAAAGGATTGGCGTTTAAAAGAAGAAGTAGCCATGTACGAAGGGCATCGTTGGCTATCCAAGCAGGGAGCCGTGACTGACTCTCGACGGAGCGTGATAGGGCCACTCGCAGTGCTTCTTGTTCGGCTTGGTATTTCTCTTGCGCCGCGATCCGGCGTTGCTTGGACAGCGATTCTGGCACTACGAACCAGATAAAACAGATGAGAGTAAGATGACAGCCCAACGAAACATAGAAGGGTGAAAGCACAGAATGAGTCAAGACGGTGAGCTTTCCAGCTAGAATGGGGCCGATTGCCAGGCCCCCGAACAGACACGCTTGAAGGTATCCAAGAGAAACGGCACGCTTCGACGGAGGCGTGCAGTCGCTGACATACGAACTTCCCAGCACTGAGACTGCCGTGAAAGATCCCGTAATTCCACTAACCAGTATTAGTGGTCTGAACGTGTCTTTACTCAAATAGAAGAAATGTCTTACTCGAAAAAGCTGCCTAGTATGAGGAAGCGATAGTCAATAACATCAGGGTATTTTGCGGCCAGGATGGTAATGGTTTCATTCACGATACCACCAAAGGAGGCGATGACAAGCAACCGCTTCCGCCCAAAACGGTCGGAGAGAGAGCCCAGTTTCGGAGCAGTGAACGCGCTGAGGCCGCCAGCCAGGGCGCTCAACACCAGTGTGAATGCTGCTACGTTCTTTTGAACAGGCGCCGAGTTGCACTGGAGATTATTCCCACCTATGATCACAGGCAAAAAGGTCTGGTCGGGGTCCAGCACCTGCTGCTCGGCAAAGTAGTGGCGACAGACTAATGTTACAATTCTGTCATGTGCGTCAGCATGCGCACAGCGCCGAGTGCTGTTGTACAACGACTTACAACTCGATTTTGGGGACAATCACGCCCCCAAAGGCTAGAGTGTACAGGAAATAGGGTCCAATTAGCCAGTATACCTTGATGTCTGTCAGCATGATGACTTGAGACAACGTCTCCCCATCAACCTAAGACATACAGTAGGAGTCTTCCACCAAGGCAAGCCGTGGAAATCATCATCAGCTCCCCAGCTCTGCCGTCTAGCCTCATCCTCCACTTGTTGTCCGGAGCGCGCATCGAGCAGAGCTGTCGTCTCTGCTAGACTATCTTGTCTGGTTTCTTCTGCATCGATCATTACAATTGGCGCGCGGCCATGCGCTCTGGGTTGCGCCTCGCTCGTCATTGTCGGGGTCTGAGATCAAGTTGAACCGGGCCAATCAGCCGAGCTCACGATGGGGAAAAGCTGGAATCGAGCTGGCCGACTGTTACCGAGTAACGTGCTCGCAAGTCCATGGGAATGGGGTCGAAGGGGCTGCAATACCGATGAAAATGAATGCGCAAACACAAATACGAATGACCGGGAAGAGGGCTGATTTCAAAGCAAAGGGATGATGGGTGGATATGACATCTACACTAGTCTAACCTTCAGCTGGGCGGGCGCCGAAAAGGCCCGTTGAGAGGGAGTGCCAACTTTCGTATTAGTTGAGCTTAGTATGACGGGGCAGGAACAAGGATGTAGATAGTGTAGATGTTTATTTATATTGAGTTTCGAGTGAGATGGGCATGAGATAAGAGGGAGGGATATGAGAGCTATCGAGCGTATCGTAAGCCCACGACACTAGCACACATGTAGTGTAGATTGATGTAGTCGTCAATGATGACGGAGCTTCTCCCACGGGCCTGGGGAAGCATGTCGGGACGATCCCTGTCCCACCACCCACTCTGCCCAACCCATCCATCAATTCCCATTTTGGAGGGCACTGGGGTTGGAGAGCGGGATGATTTGACGGACATCTACACTAGTACTACATACAGAACTTCCAGATACACACACAGTAGTTATAGGTACTCAATATACTTAATGGTCGGAAAATCAAATACAGGAGCGCGACAGGTAGTCAGTCTATACAATGAAACCCGTCTTCAGATAGATCCATAGCTGAAACAAGACCTGGGGCTGATCATGTGTAAAGATGGACAACTACTGTCGTGTAACTATATAGCCTGATTAGTTGAAGATAATGTACCTTCGCCATCCATAGCAGGAAGCCTGAATTCACACGTAGTTCTCCAGGTATCTGAGACAATCGACTAAGCTCTCGAAAGAAGAAATGACGTGTACTGCCCGCTGCTAAGCGTTCTGTCTCAACGATGTAAGTCAAGGAGCCACTGTAGTGTAGGTGTCGATATGAGACAACTAGTGGTGCCTGGGCTTGGCTGTAATAACCTAAGGCAGGCGACACGTGTTAAGGCACCATCAAAGATGACAGTGTGCTCGGAATGAGGGTAGGACGATGCTGCACACGCCGCACTTCATAAGTACCTGCTTGCCACGCGGCCTGACAGTACATATGGAGGTACTGCCACCGTTAATGCCTAATGGACCGGATCCAACATATTGACGTTTTACGCGTGCTCCTTTATTGATGTCCAGTATTCAAATCCTTACGTGATGTATGTCAAGGCATCTGGCGGCAGGAATCTGCCCAGTACTCGAGTGAAAGAAGTGTTTTTACGCTGCCTAGCTCGGATATCCAAAATGGGCGAGCTATGCCTATAGATTGCTTAGGCATATCCCACAATAAGGTGTTCTATGCTCGAGATGCTACTCTCGGATAGCCTGCTCATAGTACCTATATATACAAACTAAACCAGGCATTGCTTGTGAATAAGCCGGTTAGGGGCAACGAATTACCGTGACCAAAATATGCCCAATATCATTATGGCGCGGGGGGCGCTGTTTTTCATACAGCGAGTGAATTTTGGACACCAGCAAAGAATTTCTTGGACTCGGCGCAACGTTCGTTTTTGCAGCCGGGGCATCTCAACCCCATCTGATACGAGCACGCGATGCCGCTATCTAGATGGGATTTGGCAAGGTCTGCCAATGCCTCAATAAACATAGGGTTGCCATTAAGGCTCTCTACCCGCTTGACCGTATCGGCGTGACCAGACTCCCCTATGACCTCCTTGTCCAACTCAAATAAGGTTTCAATATGGTCAGATGTGAACGCAATGGGAATTAGGACCAGATCTTTCTGTCCTTTGGAAATATACTCTTCGACTGATGTCTGTGTCTGAGGGCCTAGCCATGGCTGCGGGCCAACCTGTGATTGCCAGCATAGTCTGTAAGGGTTAGAAAATTTGAGGCGTTGCATCACAGCGTATACCGTCGCGGCAACCTCGGCCGGGTATGGATCGCCTACAAGTAAGTTAGCGAACATATTTTATCAGCCTAATAAGATTTATAACGGACCTCGGTTGACCACTGTCATCGGCAAGCTGTGTGCAGAGAAGAGAAGGACTGCCTTGCTGCGCCGTTCTTCGGGATATTCAGCTAATGTCTTCTCAATGTTGCTGGCAAATGTATTCACTAGGCCTGGATGGGCTGGCCAACGGTCGATGACGCTCCAATCAATCGTGCCCGGTCCTGCCTTTCCTTCGAGCCTCTGTCGCCACCTCCACAACTCGTTTAAGCTGCTGCCGGTGGTTGAGCAGGAATACTGTGGATACTGAGTGAATGCCACAGCACGGCCTCCCCTACCATTACCAAAACCATCCTCCAATAATTTAGTATACATTTCTTCGGTCAAGGGGTTGGCGTAACGAAAGGCAACGTATGGCTTATGGGGGGCAGTCTCGGGGGATATACGATCAAGTATTTTGCACATTTCGACGTTCTGATATTCTGACCACTTTCGAATCGGGGAGCCACCACCGATTTCAGCATATTGTTTTTGAATCTTTGGAGTTCTCCTCGAAGATATGAAGGAGCCGATATAATTCTGGAGTCGACCCAGCGGTATTAAATCGCCATCTTGCTAAGTTGAAATATTGGCGTTAGCCAACCTGGACTGGGCTTGAGCATATACGCAGCACAAACTTACGAAGAGACGCTTGAGAAAGTCCTCGACCTCGTCCACCGTTGAAGGCCCACCCATGTTCAAAAACACCATGGCCGTAGGACCCTTCGATCCAGCAGCATTTTGCGTCACGGGTGGCACAGGAGTCGCAAACGCGCGTGTCTGTGAAATGACATCTTGTGTCGGCCGGAGAGTACGGAGGGGCGAGTAAGAGACAGCTCCGGCTGCTCTTCGCGAGAGCTGCGCCACGGAATGACGGGCTACCATTTCAGGAAAATGGCCCGTCTTGTCTACTAACAAGGAGTCGATTTCTACAAATTGCTGACTCCCAATTCGTAGCGAGACTTTTGGCTGGCAAAACAAAGTTGCATAGAGGAAGAAGAGGGGAGGATTGAAATCGCGACTTTGTACAAATTATTCGCTAGCAATTTTGCGAATTTCGCTGCGATGACTGCATCAATGGCAGCGGCGGGCCATCGCCAATCTCTCGGCGTGGCGACATTTAGCTTCTTACAGTAAGTAGGTACCTACCTACCTAAGTAGGCGCCTACAGCCAATGAAACAAGGCCAATTAGCTCTAAAAGCACAACTCTAAGTACTCTGCTCTACCTACTCGCCTACCTAGGTAGCTCGGTAGGTATGCAAGTACCTAGCTGTACCTAGATATAGTAGTCCCACTAAATTAGTCTGAAATGCCTACCTAAGGCACCAACTGTACATGTACCCGAGAGGTTCCCAGGTACCTAGGTAGGTTGAGGTCGAGATCACCTGAGCACGCGAATGCCTCCCTTGATACCTGTATCTTGAGATAGCTTAGATGTCGCGTATAGAACCCCACAGACGCGACGGCTGCCTGGAACATGACGTTAATTATTTGATGCCAATAAACCACATTTTCCCGTCAGCGAATCTCTCAACAAAACCCTTCATCACTACTTAATCCTTGTCGAGCCACAGTCTCTTTCAACTCAATTGAAGTGCTGTTTGTCATTTCATTCTACGCAGGCCACACACGCCCTTGTCAGTATGGCCGATCGATGGAATCCTGAACGCAGGGATGAAGAGGAAGAGGAGGATGAGGGAGACGAGTTCAATGAGACTGTATGTCCGCCTGAGATGCATATCATTATCAATACGTTGCTAACAATTCCCTGTAGCACTACAAGGCTCAGAAAGATGCACTTATCTTCGCAATCCAAGTGAGCGATTCTATGCTGCAACCGCCTCCTAAGAGTGAGGATAAGAAAGCCAGTCAGGATTCTGCAGCATTGACTGCATTGAAGTGTGCCTATCAAGTGATGCAACAACGCATCATCTCTAATCCGAAGGATATGATCAGCATTGTTCTTTTCGGCACAGAGAAAACGAAAGTGACCGACATCAAGCTTCCAGACTCTCACTGCTATTTGCTTACGGATTTGGAGGTTCCCGCGGCCGATGATGTGAAGGCTTTGAGAGGATTGGTAGAGGAAGGCGAGGACGCGGATGAGATCTTAGTTCCGTCTAAGCAGCCCGCAGACATGGTTATGTTACTACGGTTGGTGCTTCATCTCTTCCAAACAAGAGCACCCAACTTTGGATCCAGAAGGCTCTTTATCATCACTGATAACGACGATCCTTGTGCCGGCATGAAGAGAAATCCGTCCTGGGATCCTGCTGTCAGAGCTAAAGATATACACGACCATGGCTGCACTATCGAGCTCTTCCCCATCAGTCATGGCGATTCTAAATTTGATACCAGCAAATTTTACGATGTAGGTGGAGCCTGGAATTCCCATCATACTCTCCAGCCTGACGTGCATTGTAGGATATCATATATCACGATCCAGTCCTTGATGAAACAAATCCCGGGAGAGTTACGCCAGCAGCCAAGTCCCATGATGGATTGAATCTACTCAACTCTCTCATCTCCAACATCAATTCTAGACAAACTCCTAAACGAGCATATTTCAGTGCCATGCCCTTCGAAATCGGGCCTGGTCTCACCATATCAGTCAAAGGGTATAACATCATTCAGAAGCAAACGCCTGCCCGGAGTTGCTACATATGGCTCGAGGGGGAGAGGCCACAGGTTGCTGTGGGTGAGACTGCTCGTTTGGCAGCGGATAGTGCTCGAACAGTTGAGAAATTCGAAGTCAAGAAAGCATACAAATTCGGCAATGAATATGTTTACTTCATGGACGAAGAGCAAAAATCTATAAAACAGTTCGGTAACCCTTGCATCCGAATCATCGGGTTTAAGGACCGATCGTTGTTGCGATTCTGGGCTTCTATCAAGAAGTCTACCTACATCTTTCCGAGTGAGGATGGCTATGTTGGGTCAACACGTGTTTTTACGGCTCTATGGCAAAAGCTGCTCAAATCGAGAAAGGTCGGTGTTGCTTGGCACATTGCGCGGAAAAACGGAAATCCTCAGCTGGTCGCTGTTATTCCGTCTCGAGCAACTTCTGATGAGAAGTCGGGCACTCAGTATATACCTGCAGGGCTATGGCTATATCCCATTCCTTTTGTAGACGATGTACGTGACGGACCCGAAACAGGGAAGGTTATTCGGACAACCAACGCGTTGACCGATAGGATGAACAAGGTTGTACAGCAGTTGCAGTTGCCAGGCGGTGCCTACAACCCAGCAAAATATCCCAACCCGGCACTTCAATGGCACTACAAGATACTCCAGGCGCTTGCGTTAGAAGATGTTGTTCCTGAACAACCTGAAGACGCCACTGTACCCAAATATCGGGCGATACACAAGCGTTGCGGTGGATATATTCAGGAATGGTCTCAAGTGGCAGATGACGTGCTTGGTCAGATTCAAGAACAGAAAAAGATCAAGCGGGAATTTGAGGCGGACAATGAGGAAGACGAACCTCGCCCAGTCAAGAAGGCGAGGGCCACAACAACGAAAGACAAGAATATGGGTGAGGATGGACTAAGCAACGCGGAGCTACGACAACGTTACGATGCAGGCACGTTGACGAAACTCACTGTGGCAGAGCTCCGAGGTGCCATGGCCGGCCGTGGTCTCGATACTAAAGGACTGAAAAAAGACTTGGTAGAGAGGCTGGAGCAGTGGGTTGAAGATAACGTGTAGAACGATGTGTTTAACGGTTAGGAGCGGCGTTTATGGTTTATTTTCGACTACCTACACGGTAAGTAGGTAGTTAGATGTATTCCCGTTTCTATTTTGTAGGGGAGTAATTCAGAATGCTCTCTGTATTAGTAGTAGAAGGAACCTCGAGCGAGGTCTTGTTGATGGAGTAATATCTAGCCATCATTTGAAGCCTCTCCTCAGCACCTAATAGCTAGCACCGCCTAGCAACTACCTACATATTGCTTGCTTCATTACGCGCCTATTGTCGCTTTTCAAGTTGATGCTCAACTCGCGTGTATAGTATGCCCTGAGAATTGAAGATACAGGCAGCACTAAAGTGGTTGACGCCTCCTGAAGCACTAGATAGGATGTTGGGGGTGCAAACGGAAGCAAGGGCATATAAGAATAGCGGGCTTAACTAGGGCCTTGGCCACCTGAACTTACCACCTACACCTTCACCAATACTTATTGTACCCCGGTAATCAGTACCTAAGGTCGATACTCACTACAGGCCTACAGTGCACCTGCGCAACCTACCTAGGTACATAGAGGTACCTAAGAGGTAAGTAGGTAGCAAGTACCTGGCATCGCGCTCACATAGGCCGCACACGCGATCCTCACCACCCTACGTCCCCACCACTACCCCCATCTAGTCACTGCCATAGAGCTAGCCTTGCTGTTCACATCACGACTTTTGCGACGCGGCACGGCTGGCGAGTCCCAGGACTATTGTTGGCAAGATGGATGCCCTCGGTTTGAGCAGCCCATCACGACCGAACGTACCGTGTCGTTCCCTTGAAGAAATCCAAGGCCAACTCCACCAGCTGATTGCTGCCACAACCACTGAAACGCGCGCCAACCATATCTCCCCCAGCTTTGAGCTCCTGTCGAACACCGCGCTCCACCTGACTCCCGATTCTGAAAACACCGCGATTGAGGGCGCAGATCCAGATCCAGCAGCGCCGCAACAGCAGCCCGTTGTAAGAACCGTTATAGTTTCTGAAACCGTACAGAACCAGCCCACCGATCAGCCAACCCTTCAGCAAGCTGTTGCGAAACACATTTCCCGCGCTATAGGGGCCGTTGATGGCAGCGCATGGACTGTCCGCCAGGTGACTAGGGGCGCACAAGGCTGGCAGTTTACATATATCTGCAAGGCCTCCCTCCAAGCTTGGAAGCGTGCTAATGCCAAACATCCCGACCGACCTACCATCGCAAGTTATAGCGCGAGCGGTGGCCTTGATCCCATTAATCTTTGTATGTGCTCTATTTCTCTTCATTGTGGACTGTGCAATCGGACTCTCACTAATCCAATGTAGCACGTCCCGCATTTGACTGTCGTGGGTCGCTCAAGATTGCGTTCTCGAAATCTACTAGGGGTATTGTTGTCAATTATGAGCATACACCACTTCACAAGACAGTCACACAATTAGTCGACCGATTCGTGCCCGCTCCAGTTCCCGTCCGTGTTGTCAATAATGCCCCCCAAAAAACACCAAAGGCCAAGCGTCCACGACCAGTGGATGGTGAAGGGAGCAGGAAGAAAACACCCAAGACTAAAGCACCTGCCGGAGAGGGTGAAGAAAATAGTCACAAAAAACGAACGCCGAAGGCCAAGCGTCCTCCACCGGCCGAAGGAGAAGGAAGTAGCAAGAAGCGTAGGAAGACGGGCAAAGCCGCAGGAGTCAGCCTTGGGGCCGAAGATGGCCAGAACACATCCCAGACCCAAGTGCAACCCAGTAGCGCAGACAGCACAGGGTTCACAGGATTCCTGAATGTGCCCCCAGCAGAGGCTGAGCGACGACGGCAGACTGCTATAGAACTGCTCAGCGGAAAAGGCATTGATCCAGCAACGCTATCCGCTGAGCAGTTCAATATCTTTGCAAATCAAGCGCCTAACTTGCAGTCGGCCTCATTAGATATGCTCGCAAAGTATGGCGCAGAACGGCTTAGGATTGTTCATCCAGATGAGAAAGGACAAGCGTCTTCGAATACAACACCATCAACAGAGCAGGCTACAAATCCACCACCCGAGGCTGTGCCAGGACCCTCGGCAAGCACCGATACACCCACCAAAAAGCCTCGAAATAAGAAGAGAAAGTCGAATGTGCCCCTCACTGAAGTTCCTATAGGGAATGGGGCTGTAGTACCACTTGAACAAGATGGAGAGTTAGGAACTACTGCATCAGCGCTGAAACCCAAAGCTCCTCGAGTTCCAAAAACTCGTGGTCGCTGCGATACCTGCAAGCAGCGTAAAGTCCAGGCAAGTTGCAAACTGGTTCAATTAAGTTTAACCGCAAGCTAATAAACATAATTATAGTGTACGAAAGAACATCCTAGCTGCTCAGTCTGTCTTGATGCTGGAGTTGAGTGCATTTACTTGCCACCCAAGCCGCGAAGAAAGTCGGAAAAATCCGCTGAAATGGCTGAACAAGAAGACTCTGTCCTAGACGACAATGATCATGTTCAACACGATGCAGGAAATCCAGCACAGATGTCGGTGCCAGTGCCACAAGAGTCGCATTCTACTGTATCGCCCCAGCCGCCTCGAGACATCGATAACGAGGAATTTATCCCTGATCCAAATATACTGTCTGTTGAGCATCAGTCTGCTGCCACTGAACCTTTGAACACCGGTAACTATTACCAACATTCACATAGTGAAGTCAGCTTCCCGCAATTATCCAGTGGTCAAGAAGTGCCAACATCGGGAAGCACCTCAATGCCTGATTTTACATATCCTCAGGCGCAAACCAGTGAAAGTACTGCGCCGCCTGCCCCGACAGTCGTGTATCCATCGGCATCGGTGCAGCAGCCGCAACAATCATCAGTTTCGACATCTGTACCATACCAAACAGAACCAATTGCCTCATCTAACAGGAAAAGTCTACCGACTAGCCAGTCTAAACAGACCCCGGTTCCTCCGCCGTCGATTCCTGCACATAGATCCAACTGGAGCTCTTCACCAGTGATGCATCATTCTGTAAGTGCGTCTCCAAAGCTGACACACCAACAGCCAGCCAAACGACCAAAATCACGAAAAGCGAGGGCGGAACCTGAACAGCATGGTCTTGAAATTTCGAAACAAACGGCCTCTCAAAACATCCAATATCGATCTCCAATGACAAGATCACCCTATCAAAGTGCAGCCCAAGTCAATCCAAGACAAAGCCATGGATCACAAGCCAACACACCTGCAGCTACCAACTCGCGCCCTCCACCACAAGCCCCGTCTACCACTGTTCAGCAGCCAACAACCACTGCTTCTTCCTATAACACTCCTGCGACATCCAGCTCCATACAGAATTATGATTCGTATCCTCCATATAACAACAATAATAGAAATGAGCAGTACGCCGATGCAGGCAACGACCATAGCTCTTCCCGGCTCTCGTATAATTCAAGTTCATACCCCACAACCACAGCGTCTTCATCGTATTCCTCCGCACCTTCTTACGATTATGGGCGAACCTCTGGAGCTATGAATCCTTTAAGTCAAGCTCTAAATAACACTTCATCATACAGCAGCACTACTAGTTCCACCGCAAATCAATGGCCGGCGTCTCAGACGCGAGGTGCGCAAAGTAGTAACACCTCCAGCGCGTATTCATTACCAGCAAGTAGCACACCGTCTCATGGTTACAGTACACGTGCTTCAGAGTCCAAACCCTCCAATACAAACTCATCCTACCATCAAGGCCAGGCGCAGAGCTATAGTACATACCAGTCCCAGCAGCCCACTCTCCCCCATCAAAATCAGCAGAACTGGTATGGTTTTACTGCCGCCAATAGCAACAACAACCAAGCGAGCTATACTAGTAATCGGCAAACCGCTCACGGGAGTCACCGATCAACTGCAGGTGGATATGTTAATCAATACGGTGGCAATGATGAACAGACAATATATGATCTGTTGAGGGCTGGCTCATCTAATCATTAGGCAAACCTGGCAGGTGCCTAGCTGCTCGAGTTGATTTCAGCCCTGTGAGCAATATGCCATCAATGAACGTGTTAGGTTTGACGGAGAGACGCATTTCGCGGGCAATTTCCGGCTTGCATATTATCAGATTTCAGATACCCTTGCTCACATACAGTTGTTAATACGCGATGCATTCCCTGCTTGTATGTTTTGCAGTAGGTGGGACCATAATCTACCACGCATTTAATTATATCAATTGATACATGCTTCTCGTCACTGAACGTGAAGAAAAGACTTCGAAGTTATGAGTTACGAAGCTATTTTGTATGATAACAGTTGAGCAGCAAGGTATATACAAGCCCTTAGCTAGCTTAGCTTGGGTTTGCAAGCACACGGGTCGGATGCCCATATAAAATCACCTATTTGCGTTTTTTTTTACATTGTCAGGGGTCAATAACTCGTTGATTTGTCACTGGCCCGTGATGACTCGGTTAGAAACATGGTATACGTAGAAAGGAGTCGAAGGAACCAAACGTAAGGTTCATAGTGTTGATAGCCATCCTCATGCACTCTACCAATAAATACCATTGACTACAGACCAAGCATTTAATCCTTAAAGCCAAATTCTTGTCTCTAGGTTCGTGCATGCTCGCAGTGCAAACAATCCCATTGTAGTTAGTGATAGTCTTCCCGTCGCGATCACCTCACTCAGCATTCAACGAATCTCAGTAAGGACTAACCACAACGTGCCCACACCGATATCCAGAGATGTGACAGTCCCTTCTACTATCTCGAGAGGCGCGAGCCCGAATCTGTTTTGTAGAGCCCGGAATTGATCGTCAGGCCCGCCCTTCGACGTCTGGCGAGCCAGATCCACGAGCTGCCTAACGACAGCCTCGTTCTTACTTGATCCCGAACCATCTCCATGCCGCGCATCAAGCATCTGCAAAAGCTCGGCCGTGCCGCACAGCGACGCCGTCAGCCCGCGGACGTTGAACCAGTCCTTGTCGGCGATGGCGAGATACGCGTCGGCGCGCTCGCGCGGGGACAGTGGCTTCTTCGCAAGACTACCACTCACGGCCGCGGGGATCTGAACCGCAGCGCCGACGGCGCGGATGCTTGTCGCTAGGGGGATCGAGACGGCGCCCGCGAGCACGCCGATGCCCGCGGAGACGAACTTGCCCTTCTTCGCCTGCGAACCCACGTGCCGCCCCACGTCCTTCACATGCGTCAGCGTGTCCTCGGAGAATTTCTTCGGAATGCTGTTCAGGCTACGGCCGACGTCCACCGCATGCTTCAGCGCGCGCTCCGACACGGTCGCGGTGAGGAATGCGGAAAGCGTCGTCAGGAAAGACGTGAACGTCTCCTGCGGTATGCCCCGACGCAGCAGCAGCGCGCGGCTGTACACTAGCGGAAACGGCGATGTCGGCTTGGGGGCGACCTGTGGTATTGCGAGGAATACTGGCGGTGGGGAATTGCTGCTGCTGCTGCTGCTGCTTCCGGGTGTAGGTACAACTTCTGGGAGATCCGAGTAGCTTGGCCCCGGCGCCGAGGCTGGCGGGAAGTTGAATGGCGATTCCACCGTTGGCCGCGTCCACGCGCCGGCGTCATCTTCTGTACGCTTGGAAGCTGTGCTTGTGGAGGCTGCTTCGAAGATTTCCTGTCTTGATGCCTCTATGCTGTAAGGCGGCGGGGCTTCGTCGCCTTCCTGGTGCGCATTGCTGCGTTCTTTCTCATATTCTTCAGCCGACCCCATCACGTTCTATCTTGATAGGTACAATGTGTTGCTGATGATGTAGGAAGAGTAACTAGGCTAGAGTACTGGTTGGGCACTAATTTAGATATAGCGAATTTTCTATCCCTGTTCGATCAATTCCTCTTTGCAATTAGGTTCTCGATCAATCAGGCTGGCGCCTACAACGGCACGGAGAATAAAGGACCAAGATTGGATGTGCCCCATGCTTGCAGCTTACATTACGCGGCTGGGTCGGATATAAGTACCGAAACGCACGCAGATAGCCTTAGCCCTCTCTTTCACATAAATCCTGGGATTGGACATCACGTAGAATAATTAAGCTGGCTTTAGATTCAAGTTGAAATATGATGTGGTTTGCGAGCTAACTACCTAGGCCTAGAACTCGCATCAGCTTTCATGAACCTTTTAAGTCTGCCAGCTCGGAACACGCGACCTTCTGTGACTGTACCTAGTCGTGAGACATCTATGTAGCCTTGACTGATTACTCGGTTTCCGTTGTCTTCTTTGTTTATAGCTCTCTTAATTTGACAGGCTTGACAATACCGATCCTCTTTTAACTAATCCAAGCTTGTACATACGTTTCCCTCTTTGAACGAGGGTTCAAGAGCCTATACTTCCATGCTCAAGGCGCCGTTCAATATATGATTTCGTAGACCATGACCGCATGCACCACCCGACATCATGTGCCCCGAAAGAGATATAAACCCACGTGAAATTGAAAAAGACCAAGGGAAACAGTAGTCCTGTGAAGATAATTATTATTCCTATTCGATATTTCAGTCCTTCTTTTCCACATTCTCGTCCAGCGATGAACATGTCGTTGAGTCTTCTGAAGCTGAACTTCTAGGTGAAGAACTCCTAGGTGATGAGTTGCCATGTGTCGAGCTACCAGGTGTATAACGGAATCCATCAACGACATATTCTGGCGAGCAGTTTTCGTCGTATGCAGGCAAAGACTCATCCACAGATCTATAGGTCGGGCACGAAGACATGCTTGAAGGTGTCGAGGCTCGGCGTGGTCGGGCAAAAGGGAAACGATTAGGTATCAGACCTCTTCCCCGTCCTTCTTCTGCCACTAAAGTTTCTACAAACCCCGCCGCAGCACGAAATTGGGCGATCTCTTCCTCCATACTGATGGATAAGGTATCCGAGGACTCCTCATCACTGTTTGGCTCGTTTATACGTCTCATGATGGCATCTTTTTCTTGATCCTCGATGGTCTCACGCGTTGGCTCACCTCGAAGCCATTGTATTAGATCCAGGTACTTGGTTGCAACGAGAGCATTACAGGCATCGCGAGATTCACGCAGCTGACGGCGCCGCTTCTCCCATCGGGCTTGGCGCCGTTGACGTAGAAGCCGCACGCATTGAAACATAAGTATCATGATTGTGAGGTTGATGAGGATGGCCAAAGATATAACAACCCAAACCAAGATATGTCGGACCTGGTGCTGTTGGGTATTAGCTGCTGACATTAAGCTTTTATTCGTTGACAGAACTTACAGAACCATTGATAAGCGACTGTTGAAATTGATCGACCTCATTATTGGTTATAGATATAGACCCTGTCACTTTGTCCTGGTTACCAACTTTTCCAGGCTGTTCAGGCGAAGGAATGGTTTCAAGTTGTTTGTCATCATCGGCCTCTTTCAGTGGGCGTTGTCCGCCGGTGCTGGTCGGCCAGCGGGAGCCACCAGGTTGACTAGCTATTGCACTCGGCGTTCCCTCACTGCCGTGATATACTTTACTAGCCATGGTTTTCATTTGATCATATATCGTATTGAAGAAACACTTCAGATTGTCGCAATCTGAAAGTAGTTTCTCAGCTTGACCCAAGTTGAAGGTGCTAGAAATGTGGGTAACTTTCAAGGCAATAGAATGCTCAAGCGCTAGCAGCTGTTGCTTTAGCATCTGTAATTCGGCCAGTTCATCCTCTAAGCTTGGGACCGAAGTCTCTGGTGAGCTAGATGTAGACAGCAATTGTGTCTTTATCGTAGCACCATCGATGTATGAGATGGAGACCGGCGAGGTCTGCTGAAACTGGACCGAGAAGGCAACGTCGTCGACATCCTCCCTGTCAACAGAAAGAATATGGACGGACAATAGTTGAACTTTGGAATCCCCTTCAAGATGCACGCAAGTGAACTTCCAGCTAGCTGCAAGTACATTTCCGCTGTCAGTAGCTAGGGAACCTGATCCTAACCCCAAATCATCTCGCAGCAGCGGCTCTCCATTAAGCGTAACATTGCCCTGGCCACAAGGCGTAGTTGACTCGAAAATGCGCAACTCGAGGGCCTAGGGACGGAATTAAACGACTATTGGCAGATATTGATAGTTAGACGCAATAGGAGCAACTCACTGTGTGCTCAAGTGGACTACGGTCCGAGGTTCCACCCAATTCAAGTGTAACTAACGAACTCGATGGGGTAACTTGGGAAGGACAAACAGTCAATACCAAAGACGTAAATTCAGGCCATTAGACAGAGAATATAATACGGCGTCATACCATGATCAATACTGGTGGGTACGGCGGCGGCCAACGCCAACTTCAGCACTGGTGCCAGCACCACTGTGGCCTTGAATAGGCCAAGCATCGTGAACCAGGCAGGCGCGTGATGAGGGTGCAAACAGTCCAGGAAATACAAAGAAAAGGACAGGCAACCAGAAGGAGAGAAATGCCTTGACGTGGCAAGACTACACAATCGCCACGATAAGGGCGTACAATGTTGCAAGAGAGGTAAAAGGAGATCTGGTATCTACAGTTTGCTGTGCTGAGGCCCGGGGGGTACAAAATGGTTGCCTGATGTTAAGCGGGCTGTGCTGTGCTGTGCTGTGCTTGGAGCTGGAGCTAGAGCTAGAGCTGGAGCTGAAGTACCTAGCCTACACTAACATGCCATGGTCCACGCCGTAACTCGTATAAATACTGTACGTGCGTGTACTTCTGAGCGTAAGTACAGCTGCTACGAATCTCCACACCACCTGCGTTGGCTCACTCGCTACAACCTACATGGAACAAGTTCCAGGGCTCATCCCCTCCTATGCATCTCCTATTCACAGTCATATCTGATATCAATCGTCCTACTGGCATGTGGTGATGGTAGTAGCGCAGCTGTATGGTAGGTATACCATTACATAGTACAGGGCACATATTACCCACTGGAGAGGTAGGTCCACAGCCTAGGTAATGGACCCCCACCCACCTGGAATGCTACCTACCTACCTACATGTACCTAAGTACAGAGTAGATGTTGCTTCCCCCACCACAAATACTTACTTAGATACTTATGACCTTACCTACATGCTTTGTTTGCATCAGCCTCGCGCATTTGCGACATACAGCCTAGCAACACCCCAAGGAAACAACAGGCAAATCTTAAGGTGGACTGCGATCGACTTTTTCTTGAGGCGCAACTAAAGCAGAATCATGGTACGTGTCATACTTGGAAGTGCCGTCTGATTGTATACAGGCTAATGGCATCCGCTTCTAGTTGCCCCTCGGGCTGCTAAACGCCGCTCAGGGCCATCCTATGCTCGTCGAGCTGAAGAATGGCGAGACTCTCAACGGACATCTAGTCCAATGCGACACCTGGATGAATTTAACCCTCAAAGAGGTCGTCCAGACAAGTCCGGTATGGCCTTGCCCCCCGTTGTTGGATCACGCGCAATACGATCGCTAACCTTCCCGTGCGCAGGAAGCAGACAAGTTCGTTCGACTCCCCGAGGTCTACGTAAAGGGTAACAATGTACGCCTCTACCTTTGCCCCACAGGCAGCCAATACTCTTGCTAACAGCCTCCGATAGATCAAATACCTAAGAGTCCCCGACGAAATTATCGATTTAGTCAAAGACCAACAACATTCTCAAGGTGGTGGATTTAGAGGTGGCCGCGGTGGACATGGATCACAACGTGGCGATCACGGTGGAAGGGGAGGCGATAGAGGTCGTGGTGGACGTGGCCAAGGTAGGGGCCGGGGCAGAGGCGGACGAGGAACTTGAGCGGAGTGACCATGAAAGTATCTGCCCACCACACAGGCACATATACGCGAAGCATAGCAGATTGCATCCCCAGCAAACCCGTCACGATGTTCGTCGGCAGCTCCGAATGAGACGACACGTTAGCCCAGCTAACGGCAAGCGCTGAAGCCGCCTATATAGGAACATTGCTGACGTTGATCCACAATATTTATGATTGGGCTCAGACGTCGTCGACAACTCTCGGTAGGATAGTTCGCTGCCTTTTCAATTGCGCCGTTGGAACACTCTGGCCCCTCACTGCATGGCAACAAACTATGATGCAAATGATAGACGGGGGAAATCTCGGCTCTCTTTATCAGCCCACTGAGATAGAGTCTGATAAGAAACTGCGACAAACTTAACGATGGCCATCTCAGGGGCGACACTAGGCTAGGTGAACGAGAAGGGACTCTCTAGAATATGATCCCGAATACAACGGTACAAAATCACATGGCTTTAAAGATATTCCCGACCAGTATTTCTATTAGGGTTTGGTGCGCATCAAGCTTCAGGATGACAGGTTTCAAGCTAGGTATAGGGTCGATCTTCAGGACCTTATACGTATGTAAGTAAGTTGCTTGCTATTGCTCAATGGTGAAGGTAGGTAGGTGGGTAAATACCCTTGGGTACCTAACTGTTGGTTGAATGCCAGGTGGCGGTCAGCTGACATGAACTGCCAGCCTATTGTCAACTTGGATTGTGATCCATCCAATTGTTGAACACGCATATCGAGTCCTAAGCTTGCGTAGTTCCATTTTGCATCTCTCAGCCCCGGCTTTACTCATGCCCAGAGACCGCATAATTCTCGACGGGCTCTGGCGATGTCTGTGCCCCTCGATTGATATCACGTCGCTCTCCAGGCCATCCAGTTCGTGGCGCGTTACTTGCGTGCGATCAGGCCCTGCATTTGCCAATCGCAGCACTCAGTCGAGATACTCTCAGCATCAATGTCGACGACAATATGGGCACGCTAGCTCGGCACCAGCTGCTGCTGCCCAGAGTAGCGAACGCCCGGGAAAGTCACGCATGCAATATTTGAAGCGATTAGCCAAACGGAGCCCATGGACCCCCAGCGCCATCTTCGAGGAATCAGATTCCTTCAAAACCAAGCTCAACAACATATCGACCCGCGACATCTACTCTGGCTTGAAAGAATTACAAGATGCCGAGGACACATATTTTGTCATCACACGACTTGCCGAATATCTAATGAAAGAGAGGGGGGAGAAACCCAATGTCGCTCTTTATGAAAGCTTAATCAAGGCCAACATCAATAAGCAACATGGCTCTGCGAAGGAGGCTGGCCAATTGCTCAAAGAATTGCAGGTCCATAATATACCAACAACACCAGATATATATCAAGCTCTCCTGAAGGTGAGGGACCGAGTCGATGCCTGGTCTACCATTAGCTCTCTTTGACTAACCCGGATATGCAGGTAGTGGCTGTTCACCCTGACTATGTTCTTCGCGCTCAGGTGCTGCACGACATGAAAAATCGATGGTACAATGTAACGCCTGCCGCTGCAGTCAGCATTATTGTCGGCCTCCTACGGGAAGGCCAATATGAACTTGCGCTCTTTAAACTAGAGGAGTTGAATAAGAGGCCTATCAACGTGCCCCCTTGGCTGCTGGATCTATTCCTCTATACATTTGGAGAGTTAAGTTTCCATGAAGAAACTCTTGCCATACTCAAGTACCGTCAAAGAGTAGTAGATGTCGTAAAACGAGCACCACTGTCCCTGAATGCCTGGCACTTTCTCCTAGACGTGTTCAGTAGAGATGCCTTCCAGCCTGGCATCAAGTTCATATGGGACCATTCAGTCACGCCTGGCCACATTCATCCACCTAATGGTGTGGTAATGAATGTTTTGAACTCCGCATCAGTGCACGGAGACGCTGAATTATCCATGAATGCAATTCACGAACTTTCCACACGCGGCGTGAAGCTGGGTATGCACCACTACGAGGCCCTTATCCATGTTCACATACAGCATGACGATCTGCCAAAAGCACTGACTATCCTTTGTATTATGGCCAAAGCAGGGCTATCTCCTGACTTAGCTAGTACTCGGTCGATATCCCATTTGCTTCGCAATTCGTCCACGTCTACTGATAAAGCACTTCGAATACTTCATGAGCTCAAGGCGGAATATACCATACCCTCGGCCGCTTTCAACGTCGTCCTAGAATCTGTTGCAGCCCATGGAAATTTCAGGATCGCGTTTGATTTGTACAGGTCTATACGTCAAGTGTGTATAAAGGGCCCAGACATACAAACCTTCGAAATCCTACTCCAGTACTGCACACAGAAAAAGTCCATGGACTTTTTACTTGCTGAGATGGAAGCTTTCTCGCTGAAGCCGACTAGGTCTATTCTGGATCGCCTAATAAGAATATGCACAATGCAAGATGATTACGAATTGGCTTTCCGTTATCTAGAAATGATGCGCGCTCATACGCTTCCGAATTCATCTGAGACATGGTGGATGAGTAGGAGCTCCGCCATAGCTCTTCTTCGGCGGTGTCTTCAAGCTCGAGACCTAAGATTCAAGGATATATTAGGAGAATGTCGTCGTCGATCAGTCCTGCATGATCGTGATATCAAATCTTTGGTGTCTGCAGCGGCAAAGCCTAACAGCATGGACTCACCGGAACAAGACCCGGCAAGACTACCTCTCTCTAATTCAATAACTGGATAGATACAACTACAATACCGGTGGTAAACCCAAATATATAGTTCAAATTCGATAGCTCTGACGTTATCCCCGCATTTGCTGCGCGTTCAATTATTGTGACGGTGATACGTTGTACGTCGGACATATTACTAGGCTTGACAGCCGCATGTACCTATATACATCATGATCCTAGCTTATACGCAATCTTACTCCTCCAGGCCACCGAAACCGCTCTTCCGCCTATGTCACTATTGGAAGCCTATGTATCACAATATATGAAATGTTTCCATCTAATACGAAGGTTCGGTCCGCTATATCTGGGTATGTGCTATATGGGGTGTACAGTAAAACTGCCAACCAGTCATCAGCTACAGTGACTGGTTGCGAAATAGATGAGTACTGTAGATTGCAAGTATAATTCTCATCATCGGGAGGAATACGGTATCATCCGGATCTTCAGTTTTGATATTTGATATTTGATTAATTAACAAAACTATTGCTATGCTTTGTCACGGTCCCCTGGCTATACCAATATTGGTAGGTCGGTGTTAGGGAAAAGTTCGGTACCTGTCTGGTCGTCAATAGAGCTGTAGCCGTGTTATAGTCAGGATATAAGGTAGTTGTCTTGAATGTAATGGCAGCTTGTCTAGCCTGACGCCAGCAGTACTAATATAATTAGCACCGGATTCCTGCTGACAGCCCGAAAGTTCCGTAATGTCAGACATACTAACACATGGAAAGGTCTCACTCGTGGTAACCTATAGACTATAGTAGCATTGTGCCACGACGTTCGACCGGTGTACTACCCTATCTGAAAATATGCCGTCTTGGAAACGGCTTGGGATTTCCCCGCGACAGCCTGGCCCAAGAGCAGATTGCGATCGCTTGGCGATTGCCAAGGTGTAATTGTATATCCATTTGTTGTGTGGTGTGAGGAAGCTCTGTCAACGCAGGCCAATACTTTCAAACTACACTGAGTGTATATTGCAGGGAGCTGGGTAGCATATGCTCTCCGTATATCATATCTCAACTAAGATCAGCGCATATTGTGCACCCTTTTGTACTACGTCGTATTTTGTTCGCTTGTAGTCAGTCAGATTCTGCATATACAATTTGATATCTGACCATGTCTCACCAGCAGCTTACATACAATGGCTTGCCCGGGATCTATAGTCAAATCCCCGGGACGTTAGTAAATTTGATCGACTATTCGATTTCAAATTAAAGCGAAAATAAGACCATGAGAACACACCAGCGACGATGGCCTAGCGAGGCTGCCATCAACCTACGATGCTAGAATATTTGTAATTAGGGAAGAACAAGTCACACTGAGTGTTTGTCCATCTCGAAGCCAAGAAATATAAATAAAAGCTTTGTGAACCCGAATTTCAGGACGAAATAGAAGGTCATAATCATAGTCACTATCTTCCCTCCTCAGTAGTCCGCTATCTTCATACGTCTGTAGTGTCTCGTCAATCCGCAAAGATGAAGCTCCTGTCTGTCTTGACCTTGACGACGGCCGTGACGGCTTTCTACGCCAAGAGGATGACCAAGATCGCCGGCGTCGAAGTCATCGATACACAGATTGTCCGCGATGCTCAGGCTCTGATTAAGGGGTTCCCAGACTATCTGTACTCACACCAGATGAGATCGTGGCTGTTTGGTGCCGCTATGATCAACGCCAATGCCACTTTAAGGAAGAACATCGACCTGGAAGTGCATGCGGTCGCGACCATGCTTCACGACCTTGGCTGGGACATGACTCCTGGCTCCCGCTGGGTCAGCTCTGACAAGCGCTTTGAGGTCGACGGCGCTATCGGGGCGCGCACATGGCTCAGTGAGCATCCTATCGGCAAGTTTGTAAGTAATACTCCGCAATTTCTCTCTCTTTTTCTTTCCCTTCACATCATGCTCTTTTTCGGGACGACGAAGGCTCTTTCTCAGGTGATGGCTCGTGACGGAGTTTTACCACTTCTCAAGCTCTAGCATGTTACACCCAAGATGACAATAACTGATCCCTCGTGTCTCAGTGGGCCCCCGAACGTGTGCGTAAAGTATTCCAATCAATTGCTTTGCACGGCTCCGGCTCCATCGTTGACTACTTCGAGCTCGAAGAAACCGTAATCGTCCAAAGTATCTCCCAAGATTACAACGGGCCCATAAATGGTGTCAGCCAGGTGGTATACGATAGGATTGCGAAGCAGTTTCCGCAAGACGAGCTCCTTTCCGGAACCAATAAGACATTTGTCTGGCTTGCGGAAACCAAACCCGCGACGACTTGGGGTGAGTCTCTCATGGCTTTATATCCTCCCCCTTTTGTTAACTGTTGACTCGCGGTGTGCTAACCAGTGTCCTATTTGTAGATACCTGGCTCCAGCCTTGGGGTGATACTTTCGTTCCTGGGGTATGTAAACGAATTCGCACGTCTTGCTGGAGATGGGCACATTTATTGACTATGGCGCATAGTACTCGGCAGTTGGCCACCGCTCATTCGACAACATTGCCGGCACTAAAGGGTCGTAGACGCGACTGATATTGCGTCATGCATTGCTAACAAGATATGGACAAAGTCAAGCATCGGCATCGTGGCAACTTGATATTTTGCAATAGCAAGGAGGGAGGTGCGAATATAGGACCCTAGGAGGCACGAGGCTTTAACATCCAACTAATATGTGCATACTCCGTGTTCAATACTAAGCTTTGCTCGATCTACCATGAGAAAGTAAGGGAAGGAGTGCCAAGGTTTTTGAAAATTATGTCATAATGATCACAATAGTCATTGAATAATATCTTCTATAATGGATAAAAGCATTTGCGCAAAATTAACGTCTCCTAATGGTTGCTCTGACGAGTTACCCCCTTGGCGGTCCCTGACTTATTGCGAGTGGTTAGGAAGACCACGGGATATTTGGTGGGCCATCATTAGCTTGGCTATCTACGTGTAGTCTGATGACTGAACAAACAAACCTATAGATGAATCCACTTCCGCTTCTATCAAGACATCAAGATATAGCCTCGACTTCATACGGATAACATGCCCTTTCTACAGCATCATCTAAATAAATGTCGTTAGTCAAGTGGATGGGAGCCATCTCTGATAAACATCATATCCTTATGAGAGTTTTGAAGTACCTACCTACCTACTTGTGTGTTGCTTATTCAGAAGTCCGCATTACGTCAGCACTGCTAATTATTGAGCTCACGCACTGGGAGTAATGTGTACATGGTATAGGCATTTAGATCTAAGTCTCTAGATCTGGTATCTGCCGCCTTAGCATCGGCATTTGTGTAGGCTGCTGTATGCGACCCTAAGTAAGGGTCTACTCAAAGCTGAGCCTACATAAAGACCCACAACCAACAACTCTTGGATTGGTAATCCGATCTTTGAAACCACTACCGAGTATTTCTCATCAACGCCTTCTTATCGCTTCTTCAGCGCAATGAATCTGGGGCAGGATGGTATTAGTGATCTGGAAGACGAGATGCTTCTCGTTTGTTGTTTAGTCATGTCAAATACTCCTACTCCCAACCTAGATAAAATAGTAGCATGCCTCAAAGTATATTGATTTTTCGAAGTGACCAGGCAACTACTATCACACTGAACTAAATATCTAGATCGACTTACTTGAACCGCGCCGTTGACAACTGAAAGCGGCATCTGTACCTCTAGCAGTAACCCACAGGTACCGCATCACGCTCGGAACCGTTTCTAAACTTCAAGTGTGTTTGACATAACACGAGGTGCAATATGTCCTCTGTTATACGTGATACACCACTAGGACAATTCGTCCGCTTCATCACGCAGCACCGCGTTGTTCGGTACCCAGAGGAGGAACCAGATTTCCAGCTTCCAGACACGTGGGTCAGGGTCATCAACTCCGACAAAGCTGAATACTCAGCCTCATCTACCTGTTCCTCTGATACAGTTACACTATGTCCCAATGATGAGAGATTTCTCTCATCCGATGATGTTAGCTCCACTGGGACGGAGAGTCCAGCCAAAAGAGTCTCGAACGAGAAACAAGGTGTCCAAGATGACATCGAACAAGCCATCGAAAGGGTGAAGTCAATGCCCATCGCTCCGCACCGGACCGCAGATGGCACCATTCTCGTAGACTGGTACTCGACAGACGATCCGGAGAACCCTCGCAACTGGAAAAATCTACGCCGTGCGCTCGTCGCGCTCGTTCTCTGTCTCTACACTTTCGTCGTGTACACGTCCAGCGCCATCTACATAAACTCGGAACCAGGTATCATGAGAGAGTTTGGCGTCAACGCCACCGAAGCCTCGTTAGGGCTCGCGTTGTTTGTGCTGGGTTACGGCATCGGACCCTTGCTCTGGTCACCTCTTAGCGAGCTACCCAGCGTTGGCCGTAATCCCGTTTATTTCTGGACCATGTTAGCCTTCGTGATCTTATCGATCCCGACAGCTTTTGTCACAAATTATCCCGGATTGATGGTATTGCGTTTCTTACAGGGCTTCTTCGGCTCCCCTTGTCTTGCGAACGGCGGCGCTTCGCTCGGTGATCTGTACAGCGACCTGCATCTACCTTACGCGCTCATCGCGTGGGTGAGCGCCGGTTACTGTGGCCCTGCGCTTGGCCCTCTCCTATCGGGCTTCTCGGTGCCTGTCTTAGGCTGGCGATGGTCGCTTTTGGAGATTCTCTTCGCTGCATCTGCCGTCCTTCCCTTCATGTTCGCTTTGCTGCCCGAGACATCTTCGGCGACAATCCTCTTACGACGCGCTCAACGATTACGTCAGCTCACGGGAAATCCTGCATTCAAGTCGCAGTCCGAGATCGACCAACAGGATATGTCGAGCCGTGATATCTTCGTCGATGCGCTGATCAAGCCGCTTGAGATCACCATCAAGGACCCGGCCATCTTGTTCGTCCAGCTGTACACAGCTGTCGTCTACGCGACGTACTACTCTTTCTTCGAAAGCTTCCCGCTCGTTTACCCCGTCTACTACGGGTTGACACCCGGCCAGATTGGCCTCGTGTTCCTCGCCATACTCGTTGCGTGTCTCCTTGGCGCTGTCGTCTATGCCTCCTATATACACTTCTACATGAATCCGCGGATTCGCGCCCTCGGGGAACCTGTGCCAGAGACCCGACTCGTCCCCGCGCTCGTTGCGGCCGTGGGCCCGACCCTGGGTCTATTCATCTTTGCATGGACCGCGCGCCCTGACATCCACTGGATTGCCCCTACGGCGGGCATTACACTTTATGGTGCCACCGTTTTCGTCGTATTCCAGTGTATATTCGTTTACGTCCCTCTAAGCTATCCGAAATACGCAGCGAGCTTATTCGCTGGCAACGACTTCTTCCGTTCTGCGCTCGCGTTTGCTGCCGTACTGTTCGCCCCGCCTCTATTCGAGGACCTAGGAGTTGCAAGAGGCAACAGTTTGTTGGGCGGCTTGAGTGTCGTGGGTGTCATTGGTATTTGGACTTTGTACATCTTTGGCGCCAGGCTTAGGAGCATGAGCAAGTTTGCGATTTCTGATGAGTAACGAACTAAAAGGCGATGTACGCGGCGATGATTCAGGCTATAGTTTGATAAAGAGTCACACTCCAAATCCTTGGGGTTGGTCTCAGAAAGGGGTTTGAAACTGTTATTTCAGCATTGGGCGGCGTTTAAAAGCAAGGATAAACCTGTTTTTACTGGTTACCCTTACTCATTGGCATAGAGTAGACTTAGATTTCCTCATTGACACTTGCATTTGTATAGCATAATGATAATATGATCGGGTAATAGCTACCATATTCATACTGATACAACTATATCGTCATGGACGTGTGATGTAAAGCAAGGATCACTGCATAGTCCTATGCATGCCAGCCTGTAGTGTGTGCGGTTACTCGTCTAGACGCAAACCTCGCCAGTTCGGCAAGGCCCCGTGTTACCACAACAAAATTAACCGGCCGGGAATAGCTTTTCTAGGGGAGATGCGACGTATAAACTTCTGCAAGTTTGCTGTTGACCGATGTAGTTATTCTTTCCCGTAAAGCTATGAGCAATGTCTCCATTAGTAAACTAGGATTATAAAAGAACGGCTGAGGTGTATATTTGGCGTGACTGGATAGCGACTGACTATTAAATAAGCATTGTCTGCATGAAGGAAGTCTTCGTCGCTCCATGGACTCGTCAAGTCGAATGATTAAGCCAGGTGCCTACGAGTACGGAGACGGTTGAGGCTATGATTCTTTGTGCCGATGACGTGACGGAACAACTCAGCGTCGAGCTGCATACCGGCTGTGGCTGCAGAGAGGCTTGGAAATATATGGTAGTGGTGGTGGTGCCGGCGATTTTATATCGGACAACACAGCGACTCATGCTCATTGCCTTGGTGGTGCAGATAACTACGAACTGTTCGTTGACATTCACCCGCTGAGTGTGAGCTGCATATGCAATGCACCACCTGCAATATGTTGCCAATCGGCGCGTACCTAGAATTCGATACCATGTACTGCTTTTTTCACTAAATCTCTTTAAGCACCTGATGCTCCAGGTAAGCTTCCCGGCAGGAGGAGTAGCACAGTTCAGTGTTCCCTTGGCTGATCCAACATGATAAGGTACCAGTTGAAGTATGCGTATGTGTAATTACGGACAGACACGGACTGTGACTGATTAATGACGAAGCATCGACGGAGAGGGGATCTACAGAGAACCTAGCATGGCTGCAGCAGGTATTGCGAGCGGGCGTCAAGTGGTAAACTTGTCACAACAACTGGCTGATCAGAGGTGTTTTATTGGCGTTTATCAATCGTGTAACGGCCGGCTAGCAGTGAACCATGCCGGTGACGTGTTGGAGAGAGCGCATTGTTACCGTCTCTCGCTTCACATGCTGATCCATCGATATCTACCAGCCTCCAGCCTGGCCATTTTTGTGTAGAATACCTACCCGATGGGATGAATAAATGAATGGTCATATATATATGTATGACCATAAGTAGGTATGTATGTATGATATGTAGGTAGGTATTCACAATTGCTTCTGACACGAGATAGCTGAGTGTCACGTGCTATAGCTAGGTACACAGCACACACCTATACTATGTACTATGTACTTACTCACAGCAACAGCAAGCTTGAAGACGGATTGTGGATGTCCAGATGTACCTTGACAACACTAAAATACCAGTCCAGGGTAGCTGCTTTTTGACATGGATCCCCTGCAGATATACGAGGATTGTGCTTATTTGGTAGTCTTCAAACCAACCTGTGATTTTTTAACACGAGCATGTTGGCATGCTAGCTTAAATCTGTCCCCAATGCATTGTGGTATTGTGTGAAGCACTGATAGCATCTTCAAGATTGTTGCCATAAGACAACCAGGTACTATTTGACCGCGATCAACAGTATACTTGTACTATGGAATCAGTTGATTGCACTTGCCTTGGGCCAAGTGCTTACCTAGGTATGTCTTCTGCTGCGTTTCATCGGTAGAATGCGTACACTCTAATATATTGGTGGTGAACACGCTGGAAGGACGTCTTGGGTATGCCTCATTGTCACTTGAGTTGGCTGAGCGGAAAGGTGTAAAGAAAAAGGAAATAAAAAAAAAGGCTCGCGTTTCTCTTCGGTATTACCATAGTATTATTTACCAGGCTGGATATAATAACTAGGTAGGTAAGTAGCTACAACATACATATTGTGCTCAAACAGCTAGGTAGCTGTGTTGTAGACTTGTTGAGACTTCAAAAGTGCCCAGAGAGCTATCGGAAAGCTGCTTAACCCGCCACATGTATCAAAAAGACATTTGTAGTTTCGTGACTCGCATTCTTGTCTCTTTCTTTCTTTTTCTTTCTTTTTTCTTCAAATCTGGCATGAGGATATGATGCCACTGTGACCTGCACTTTCTTGCTTGCAAGTTGATCCAATCCAATCGGGAACTTGAACTCATGCACCAACATCCCCTGAGAGCACAGACCATAAGCATACTTCCGAGGTAGGTATCTATAGCATGTATTATAGGAGTGAAGATACATTCTTGGGGTAGGTGTTTAGCAGCATTAGTGTGGATCTTGAGCAGCTACTTACATAGGCATCTAGCACTACATACGTCCAGTGCACTTACCTTCACGCTAACATCCGACTTCTGGTCCGACTCACATTTAAAGAGGCATATGACATATCATGGAGGTTAGCAGGCTATTAGTAGGCACGCAGACCTATCCTATCCTCTTAAGTACCTACATAGATAGAACAGGGAACCGGCCGAAAAAAAAAAAAATCCAAGGTGGGGAACAACATTAACCAACAGCCCCTTTGATCAGGTACCATTATACTATCCCGTAGCGCAAGTTCCTGGTTCCTACCTACCTCGCCTACCTAGCGTACTGGATTAGATTGTACCTGATCATAGGTATAGGTACCTGGCCAGCTTCAAGCCACAGCAGATGGCACTGGAAAGGCGTACCGGTGGGTACAGTTGCTTAGCTGTAAGTGCGCTAGTATACCTACCTAGGTACCTAGCATGGCAGATTTGGGGAAATCTGGGCCATAACGCCATGGTTAATTAAGGTACCTACAGTAGGTACCAACATGCCACGTCCCCGTACACATGTTGTCGAAAATATGGAGCGCTTTTAGGTACTTCCCCTTAGGTGCATACCTACCTACATTTCGAATAACAGCAAGGAGGTACTTTCAACCTGGAAGCGTTTCATCACCTCCAACAGCTGCCTTAACTAATAATTTTAGCAGATTACCTTAAGCTAGCGCAGTGCAGGTCGCTCTCACCACCCTGTCACGTCCCTTTTCCACCAGAACCAAACCATCTCCTTTATCCACAATCCCGTCCAGGCCTAATTTTGTTCGACTCCTTCTTTTTTCCCTTCCGCTTGACCTGACGGCAGCTTCGATATTGACATCGTCTCCTCAGAGCATAATACAATCATCCTACGCGACTGCCTGCTCATTCTCCCCGGCATCAGATCGTCCGTTCTTTTTTTCCCCCTGTGTCTGTGTCCTGGAACGCCATTGACACGACACGACTCGACGACACGCGAGTCTGAAGCAAAAGCATCATCGTTCGGTATGTGAGCTGCAACCAACCTCTGTGATCTACATCTCTGGCTGCCATCGCCACCATTACCACCAGCACCTTAGACTCCCTTGTTGGGACGGAGTCGGGAAGCCTATCACCTTCCCTCGCCCTCACCGTGCCTACCTACGTGCCTACGCGCTCTCGTGCGGAGAGCAGCGATGTTCGTGGTACCCTACCAATCGTACCTCGTTAACAACTTCTATCTGCTTCCCATCATTGCAATGATGGCAGCTCTTTTCCCCCTTTCGACCCGCATAATTCTACGAATGGAACTAGATCTGACCTTCTCCGCCTACCTAGACTTCGTTGCGACTGCCTCATTAGCGATATTTCTTAAATTTGACATTCCTTGAAACATTCATAATGGGTAAGCATATGTTCTTCTACACGGCCGTCGCTGTCGCCGATGCGTCGTTGCCACGCCACAATCATGGCATTGTCACTTCCTTAGAGGACCGGACCGATCACCCTGAAACGACTTGTTTGCCTACTCCTGGATACCACTTTTCTCGACCGACTACTACCTCCTGTCTCTCTTCTGGAACAAGCATCACCAACGCCCTCGTTACTGGACTGCACTCGTTTTCGTCTTTTTGGGGCTGATCTATTACTTCTTGGGTCTCAATTCTTGGTTCTTTGGAATAGTCAACCATTGTTAGAAACAAACTTTCCCCCACGGCCAGAAAAAAAAAACACCCCTCAACAACTACCTGCACTATATACCATGCCGCCTTTCCTCCATGGTCATAATAAAGCACGAAATAGCAGTGTGCAGCTGGACAATAACCTCCACCTAATCCAGACCTGTTCAAAGCATCGGCAGCCAGTCCACACACCACCTCTATCTGTGAGGACCAACAGTATGGCGGACCAGGAGAACCAGAATCCATCGATGCGTCACTATAGAAGCATGCTTGTCGTCGACGCTCCTTATTTGGGTCCCCATAGACCTATGTCTTACGATGAGTTTTATGTTGAGGCGATGCCTGGTATTACATATGCACCACTTGCGGCACAATCCTGGCAGACTTGAAGACAAATTTCAATCATTTTTGTCACTGACTATAAACTAACAATTTTGTGTAGCTGCAAACGGTACGAATGGATCGCCTGTGCCAGCAGACGTCCAGCTTGGATCCTCAGTTCCGTCTCCAACGATCGACGTCTCTGACATGAAGCCGACAGCCGTTTCTTCAGGCCCAATTATCAATGACAATAAGAATATTGTCCGAAGAAAATTGACAGGATATGTCGGTTTTGCCAACCTTCCTAACCAGTGGCACCGCAAGAGTGTTCGAAAAGGCTTCAACTTCAATGTTATGGTTGTTGGTAAGTAGAAGCTTTGCTAGAGCTTTAGACACATGATCCTTAACCGATTGTTTTCAGGTGAATCTGGCCTGGGTAAATCTACGCTGGTCAACACGCTTTTCAACACTTCACTATACCCTCCTAAGGACCGCAAGGGGCCTAGCCTTGACATAATACCCAAGACAGTCTCTATTCAATCTATCAGCGCCGACATTGAGGAGGCTGGTGTCCGTCTGCGCCTGACTGTGGTTGACACACCTGGTTTTGGTGATTTCGTCAACAATGACGAGTCCTGGAGGCCCATTGTCGACAACATTGAGCAGCGTTATGATGCCTATCTGGATGCTGAAAATAAGGTAAACCGCATGAACATTGTGGATAACCGAATCCACGCCTGTGTATTCTTCATCCAGCCCACTGGCCATTCGTTGAAGCCCCTGGATATCGAAGTTATGCGCCGTCTGCATACCAAAGTCAACTTGATTCCCGTCATTGCCAAGTCAGATACCCTTACTGATGAGGAGATTACTAGCTTCAAGTCTAGAGTAAGAATATAAATAGCAGTTCATCGTGTACGATAGGGCTAATGCACGAAACCAGATCCTCGCCGATATCAAACACCACGGCATCCAAATTTTCGAAGGTCCTCGCTACGAGTTAGACGATGAAGAGACTATTGCTGAGAACAATGAGATTATGTCCAAGGTACCTTTTGCTGTCGTCGGTAGCAACGACGAGGTTACCAACGCCGATGGGCGCCAAGTTCGCGGTCGACGCTACCCATGGGGTATTATTGAAGTAGATAACGAAGAACACTGTGATTTCGTTAAGCTCCGCCAAATGCTCATTCGAACACACATGGAGGAACTCAAGGAGCATACTAACAACAACTTGTACGAAAACTACAGAACAGACAAACTTACTGCTATGGGCGTTACCCAGGACCACAGCGTGTTCAAGGAGGTCAACCCCGCCGTCAAGCAAGAGGAAGAGCGCGCTCTACACGAACAGAAGCTCGCTAAGATGGAGGCCGAGATGAAGCTGGTTTTCCAGCAGAAGGTTTCAGAGAAGGAAAGCAAGCTGAAACAGAGCGAAGAAGAGCTATATGCCCGTCATCGCGAGATGAAAGAACAACTGGAACGACAACGGTTAGAACTCGAAGAGAAGAAGGCCAGAGTCGAAAGCGGCAAGCCGATAGAGAAGGAAGGCAAGCGCAAGGGTTTCTCCCTACGCTAGGCTCTTCACGACATCTGTTTTCAGTATACGTGCCACGCCCGAGTCTTCATGATGCCTGTTCTATACCAGCCTGCCATATTTCTTTTTTCACTTCTCTCCGTCTATTCATCTTCTTCGCTTTTAATTCCCACTTAATCAACCTCACGAAAACAAGCTCATCTCGGGATAGCCTTCTTATGAAAATATGACCGTCCCTGCGTGAAAGCATGGTAGTATTCACAGGCTTCAAGCTGGATTTTCAAGACACCAAACTTATGCCAGATTCGAAGTCTGAAACTCGCAGCAATGAATAGACACGGGTTAGACTGGTGTTCCATCAGGTTGATGATATCGCCTCCTGGAGCATCTGATATCGCGCTACTGATACTACATCCCTTACATGGCCCTCTACACACTATTCAGACTGGAGGCGAAGACGGGTATGGCATATGGCGAATATGCACCAAGCCGCAGCATCTACCAGGAATCCCTTTTTCACTGGACAAAACATCTTTCTTCAAGATTTCTCTATTACATCTGATGGTTTCTCTGCTCTCCTTGTGTGTTAAGCTGACAATCCTCTGTGAGGTCGCTGGCTTGTTCGTTCATCAGGGCCCATGATAGTATACCCGGGGCGGAGGAAATAGGCTAGCCGGTTGTGGAAAATAAAAATGATAATGTCTAGCAGCAGAAATTTGCACGCAGCTAGATGCCTGTATTTTAGGAGGAATGATCTCTCACTCAGATGGATTGGTTTACAGGTCTTGCTGACTTGTGCCATTTGAATGAGGGGATATCCTTAGTGTTCGACACGTACTGGTCATCAATACGGCCACGCCTCTAGTTTCCTTAGTCGCAAACAACTGTGTTTTTTCCTTGTCAGACTTCTTGCAGTTCCAGTGTTTCCGAACATGTGAATTTGCTGTGCCTAGAAATATGAATCGTGCCTAAAGTAAACCACCAGTAAGGTAGAAGAGAATAATCTCGTACCTTAGTTCGTCTCCAGTTCCGTTTGAGATTCATGTCTCGTGTATTTTGGCTTAGACATTTCGGACCAGTTGCATATACCAGACTACGCTGCGTGAGTCCAATATTGATGAATACAAAGGGCTCACAGCATGGGACCAAACCCACCGACACTAAGTAGGAACAAAGATTAGGTCAATTGGGATGCCAGATATACATTGCTCATGGCTTGAGAGATGAACGTAGTGTCATAAGGATTGACGATGTAATTCGATCGATCATCAAGGGGGTTATTGACAGATATCTTGGCATGTGAGTGTGCTTAACCAACCTACTTGCTCATACAGTAGGAATTCGAGAGCAAGAGCAAGAAATAACTTATTCGAAAACTTCAGCTCTAAGTTCTAAGAGAAACTAGTCTGCTTTTTTATTGATGGCGGTCGACTGGTATTTAATCCCGAAGGCTTAGCTGTACTGGATAGATGCATTCCTGCTTTGTGAAAACTACGATTCTAAGATTGATTTCCCTTACGGCGGTGGATGATATAGTGGATACGTATTATACATGTCTTTTTCTCTACATTGGTATGTAGATAGATGTATGTGCAAAGAGGAGAAGTATGTCCTCTTCTTATCCTTTTTTACTTTGCCGCCACCTAACTCAACCAGGCAACCTGGGAAGGAATGGTACAGGATGTAGTAGTGTACAGGTTATTTGAGAGTTGTAAAACGAGACCGATCTAATGATAGTCGCCCCAATCCATTGCTTCTCTCTATTTCATTCCGACCCGCCGTGATCTATCATGACATCGTAGCTCTCAAAAGGAAGTAAAAAGTTATTTTATTTACCGTCTTCTGAGGTACCAGTTGAACGCAAGCTGGCTGACTTCAAAAGGATATGGCGTGGGAACTTCAGCAGAGCCCTTTCGTGCTACGGGATGCCGTAAATACACGGCAGAGCAGATGTTCTGGTTTACCTCGAGGTATTGGGGGATGAAGGCGAAGGGCGCCATGTAGTTCCGCGGTCGCCATGGGGTCGCGTATGGTTTGGAAGGATCATAGGGGTTCTCCTTTTCTGCACGCATATGCTCTTCCATACGCTGTTCTAGCTGTTTCAGCTCCGAGTCGCTTAGACTGTTAATTGGGTCTAAGGATGCGGCTTTTTCAGGGGATGGCTTGTCATCTTTGCCAACCCCAAGATCTAGCTCGGCGACGAGCGTAGAGAGCTCATCAGTAATTTCTGTAGGCGAAGCGTTGGCTCGGCCTGCGCGCGATAATAACGGCTTAGAGCTTTGGATGAACTTTCTCAAGGCTTTCTTTTGCGCCACGCCCAATGGCTCTTCGCTGAGGATTGCTTTCGCTTGCGCTGTTAGGTCTTGTATTTGCTTCCGTGTGGGCTTCATATCGACTGGCGCAGCTTCAGGCGTATCCGTCGTATCGGGGTCTTGTTCTGCTTTGACGGCCTGAGTTTGGGATTCTTCTTCGGCGGCAGCTTCAGCCACTTCTTCAGTGGCCTCCTCAATCCCCTCCTCTTCCTGGGCAAGAGATGATGGTCGTTTAGAGCTTTTGGGTGGTTGTTTCGATAGGCCGGTTGCGTAAAGGACACGCTCGGGGTCAACTTGGAACATATCGCCCGGGTTCAGACGATACGCTGGATATGGAACCTGTTGGAATGATTTAGTTAATATGTGAAAGCTTGCTAGATAACGAGAATTACTCACAACTTTGCCATTGACCTTGACGGCGCCATGAACACAGAATTGCCTAGCCTGTCTAGCGCTACTAGCAAACATAGCCCTGAAAACGGCAATATCTAACCGCCGTTCCATAGGAGCGAACGTCATCTGCATGTAAGGGGTACGGGCACGCGGCTTAATACTCTCGGCTTCCCATCTGGGGATTCGATCTTTGCCTGATCCTCGTCCAGCCGCCAATTCTGAACCGTCATTCATAGCCATATATTTGGTGTCCATATTAACAACGCTCAGAAGTCGCCTATTGAACATACGCTCCCACTTTCGCTCGACGATATGTTCACCATGATAAGTACGCAGCAAGCCCTTTGCGATCCATTTCTGTTGGAAGAAGGTCCCAAGACTGGAGGCGATCTTCGGATCTCTAGCTTTGGCTATGTTGTAAAGATTGTACTTATTCCACGATTGTCGCAATTTCTGCAAAATTCGGGGGTTTTCTGGTCAGCTTCTATACAGTAGGCAGAGAGTCGAAGGGCAAGACGGTAAGGATATTCGATAGCTAAGCATAAGAGACTGAGAAGGAGACGAGGTGGATGCGAACTGTAGGGGGACTTAGATAACCATATACTTACTGGCCGCTTAAGACCGTGGAATCTCCTGGGCTTCATCTTGGCTGATGTCCGATGGTGAACTCGAACACTCTACCTCTCTTGCACTCTTCCAGCTACCTACGACGCGCGCTTAGCCTTGCGATTATCCAAAATTTCTGGATATGCCTGTCACGTGCTGTCAATTGCCAAGAGCTGGCACAGGGTACCTGTACCCATTAGGTACCTTCCCCAGTCAACATAGGCACCTACTATACATATTAGATACCTAGTAGGTATTCAAAGCTCAGTGCAGACCCAGTGCTCCAGAGGTCGCTACCTGCTAGTGCACCGCAGACAGGTCTCTTATCTCCGCTCTCCACTCGATACTTAAGTACTGTACTTAAGTCCTCAAGGTACATATGTACTGTATCCAGGTAATTAATTAGGTATATGTAGGTGGTGCTACATAAGGTAGTAGGTACATGTAGTTAACGGCAAGTTCCTTGGTATCACCTGAGGCCATACCTACATCGGCACTTATACATGGGTAGATACCTACGTATCGTAACAACTACCGTCTGTGAACTGTACATATGGCTGGCAGCGACACATGCTTAAATAAAGCGAATAACGTGTATGCATGGCCGGCTTGGCCACAGGTCATATTTGATAAAAATGGGTTGAGTAGAATGTAGATGGGGGGTTTTGTAGCAATCTTTGCGGATGTGTTTTACATAGGTAGGTATCGTATTCTCCCTCCTTTGATCAAAGAAATCGCAAAACCTTCGAGAATATATAGCTTTCAAGGGCTCGCCGGTGCGCGGAGTTTCTCCTTGACTTCTTCTGCTACCCAGCTACTCAATGATATGATTTCCATCGTGCAGAGGAACTACGTGTTGTAGCTCTTTTTGACGTCATAATAGTGATACGCTTACTAGTTGTCTTATCACCGGTGCGGACGGCCAACAAACAACACAGCGTTGGGCTGGAGTATGCTTTTCAATTTCAGGATGTACGTGCACTTTGCCATCCTCTATTCAACCAACCTCCTATATCAAGTATGTACGCAGTATCTAACCGTTATGTTTTCCTTCTTATTCTTCTAAAGTCTAGGAAATTCAGTAGGCCTAAAGAGGCCTTGAGAAAAGTGTACCGTACATAGCAAGTGGTAATCAGTCAATGCAGGGGGCTCTTATTGCATCCTATTATCACACACGTGCATATTCGCGTAACCTAGAGGCGCGCCTTGAGGTTTGGCAAAGGTCAACTCGTCTTACTGTCTGTCATATGGGATTTGTAAAAACGCCCTGCCTCGTTTTGCTGTCAGTTGCTCCTGAGGCTGCAAATGCGTAGTTTTGTAAATTCAAATCGATTCCTGTTGCTCCCGCTTACACAGTAACCTTACTTACCCTGCAGTACCCAACAGCGAAGCCGCTTCGCCTCCGAGCACCCTCCGCTTCGTCCTACGCCTTGTCATGAGGACCCCCAAACCCACATTTAACTCCGTCTTTACCTTGTTGGCCAAATTTACAAAGCTTGTCGTAAACATGCCATTCGTCATTGGACAGCTGTGGTTCCCTAATACCGGGACCCATGTCAATCTTCCCCATACGAACATGCTCGCCTCTTCGCGTTTTCTGCTACGGGCTCCGTGACGGGTTAAATGAGGCAGACAGAGTAGGTAAATACTCCATTGCGGTGCTAGCCGACGGCACCGTCATCGCAGGATTTAATCCGCGAAGCCGGCATGGGAGGGGTCATTTCCCGATTTTCTTATCCATATTGTTCTTTTTAATCTGAGGAAGGCCCTGCTTGCGAGTTGTCGACCAAGATTGCTGGTGCCCAGGACTGGATAGACATTTGTAAATTATAGAAATATCACCTAAGTTCTTTTTGTCTTCACGACTCTCCTCGAACAACTTGACGCCGTCCAGTCTAGAGTGAGTGATACGACAGTGGAACTATACAGAGCATTACGAGACATAGCGATGGAGTAGACCCAGATAAACCTCCAACTTGCTTCTGAAGTCAAAGATCTGAGTCGAATGTTGCTAAGAAAGAAAGTTTGTTTGACGTTCTAACATATATCAACAAGACTGTTGGCGGCATCTGCGGCAAAATGACCCAACCAGAGAACAAAGTAGAAGAGGAGGATATCGACTCGAAAGACGTGGCGAAAGATCCCACCAAGGCCGAAAAGAAGACGCGAGATGAGGATGAGGCGACAGAGGTTGATGACACCAGCACCATCGGTAGTACATCGTCTTCCTGGGAAGAGGATAGACGGCCGAGCTCACATCCAGCATCGCGCCCTTTATCACACGCCATCTCCGAGTCTGAAATTCGGGATGGCTTTCAGAACCAGAGGGATCCCGAGCTTGGCCCACCGCTCACAGAGAAGGTGGACACCACGGCGCCAAATCCCGACGACCCAAATCTCGTGACGTGGACGGGTCCAGATGATCCTGAGAACCCGAAGAACTGGCCGTTTTCGAAGAAGTGGGCGGCGGTATTTACAGTCTCACTGTTTACTCTGATTTCCCCCATATCCTCGTCGCTCGTGGCACCTGCGCTCGAGTCCATCGCAGAAGAGTTGAAAATCGAGCAGGCTTGTAAGTCGAAACTTCGGTTTCCATATCCCGCATCTCCTGAGTCCCGGATACGCTCACACGAATCGGATCCTGTGAAGGGACGGGGACCATTCACAGCTGACTGGTATGAATATAGTCGAAAAGAACCTCACGCTATCGATTTTCATCCTCGCGTACGCAATCGGCCCCTTGGTGTAAGCCTCCATTCTAACCCAACCCACCTTCCTGCGGCCGCATCTGTACCGGATCCAGACTAACAGCACGATGTGCGCAGATGGGGACCGCTCTCCGAGCTATATGGCCGTGTCCTCGTACTACAGCTCGTGAACCTGCTTTATCTGTTCTTTAACCTGGGCTGCGGGCTCGCGCGCACGAAGGAACAGCTCATCGCCTTCCGATTCCTGGCTGGACTAGGCGGGTCGGCACCCCTCGCCATCGGCGGCGGCGTCCTAAGCGATTTATTCACGGCTGAGAACCGCGGCAAGGCGCTCTCCATCTACAGGTTAGTTCTTTGGGGTCGTTTATTTCCCCTTTAGGCAGGGTTCGGCCGGCTATTGCTCCTGTATACTCCCGGAACATGAACTGAACCTCTTCCCTATCTGGCAATTACTTACTCCAGCGTGTGTAATACAGTCTTGCTCCCCTGCTTGGCCCAGCCATCGGGCCCATCGCCGGCGCTTTCATTGCGCAGAACACGACCTGGCGCTGGGCGTTCTACGCGACCACGATCGCGGACGCCCTGATCCAGGGCGCTGGCGTATTCTTTCTCAAAGAGACGTACGCGCCGCTGCTCCTAGTTTGGAAGAAGCGGCGTCTTGTCAAGGAGACTGGCAACACGGATCTGCACACGCCCTACGACAACCCGAACCGCACCGTCGCCAAGACACTGCGCATCGCGCTTGAGCGGCCCTTCCGGATGATCACCACGCAAATCATCGTCCAGGTCCTCGCCGTGTACATGCTCTACGTCTATGGGTTGATCTACATCGTGCTGACGTCCTTCCCCGTGCTATTTTCGGGCCCCGAACCCGACGGCTACGGCGAACCCGTCGGCATCGGTGGCTTGAATTACATCAGTCTCGGCTTAGGCTTCTTCGTAGGAGCCCAAGTGACCGCGCCGCTCCAGGACCGCATCTACGTTGCTCTGAAGAAGAAATACGGCGGCATCGGTAGGCCCGAGTACCGCGTGCCGATGTTGATCCCGGGCGCCATCCTGATGCCAATTGGTCTCATCGTCTACGGATGGACGGCTGAGTTCAAGACGCACTGGATCTTCCCCAATATCGGCGCGTTCTTGTTCTCCACCGCCACCATCATCAGCTTCCAATGTCTGCAGACGTACCTCGTCGACACCTACACGCGGTACGCCGCCTCCGCCGTCAGCGCCGGCACCGTCTTCCGCTCGCTCGCCGGCTTCGGCTTCCCCCTCTTCGCCCCCAGCCTGTACGAAACCCTCGGCAATGGCTGGGGAAATACGCTCCTGGCCCTGCTTGGCGTCGTTTTGGGTTGGCCTGCACCGTTCTTGCTGTGGAAGTATGGCGAGAAGTTGCGGATGAGGAGTCCATTTGCGGCTGGGGATAAGTAAGCTTGCGAGCACGAGAGGTTATAACTAAGGGGGAAAAAAAAAAAGAAAAAGACAGGGCCTTGAGGACCTGTCATCTGTACCTATTACTCACTTACGCACAAGAATTGCATACAAACTGTTTATCTAGGGTCGCATCCTATTTTTAGCGGTCTTACACGGCGAAAGGCATTCAGGGGAAATAGAATGGGAGGACATAACTAATTGACTTTTTTACTCTCATGGCATAGATCAGTTTGCACTTTGCATTTTCCTCGTGGCTAGCTAGATACGGCTCATTACTAGAACAACCCAGTTCCGTGTAAAAATAATTCAAATGAAGCTTTTTGGTCTTCAAAAGCAATGCGAATGAAGTATGATATAGCCCAGCAACAGCAGTCGAGGATCTATTAACCGAAACCTTTAACGCCTGGACCATTTCACGGAACCACCCTTCTCTGTGCCATCACTAGGTCGTTACTGCTAACGCTCACTCGTCTGAGGGCTGTATAGCTGAGTAAAGTAGACATTAGGCCGAGCGCAGGTATGCAATTAGGTAAAGGTACCAACTACGAAGGTGGCACTAGATATGAGACACTCCTCCCTGGACCGAGTCGCTTCATGTAGCTTCTGTGGCATCCTCCTTGGTATTGACCTTTTTGGCAGGAGGCTCGTCAGTGGTTGTATCGTCGTCTCTGCTTCGCTTGCCGTTCGTCTCTCCCGACTTAGCCTGTTCTGCTTCCAAGATCTTCGCACCCTCTTTGCTGACGTGGATCTTTGGCCGACCATCATCTACTGGTTTAGCCGGAGCCTCCTGGTCGCGAGCACCGTTGTTGTCGCGTCCACCCTGCCCACGGAAGTTCCCCCGGCCACGACCACGACCACGGCCACGGTTATTGTTATCCCGACGGTCACTAAAACCGTTTTTTTGGTCTTGTTCACGGCGCTTCTTCCAGTCATCCTTGTTCGCTCCCCGATCATTGCCTCGGAAATTACCCCGCTGGCCTCGGTGGGATCCACGTCCATATTTACGGCCACTGGCGTTGATCTTACCCTCTCGGATAGCCTCTGATTTTTGCTTCATGTAGTCAAGTTTCCACATTATGTGCAAGGGATGTCCCTTCCACTGAGGCTCAGGTTGCGCCGCCATGAACTTCTCGGCAGTTTCTCTATCTGACCATTCCACGAAGACGGAGCCTTTGAAAACCTTGTCGGGGCCGTCTGCTCGTCGAAGGCGAACCGAGTCGAACTGTCCATATTGTGCGAAGAAGGCTTCGATATCGAATTGCGTAGATGAGGTTTCGTCGCCGAAGCCCTTGACGTACACACTGCGCTCTTCTCGCTTGTTGCGCTTCTCGGTGTCTATCGCGTTTTTCCTGCGGATGGTTTCCTCGCCCTCTGGACCATCAATAACGAAAAAGTTGCTTGCCTTGAGAGCCTTGACGACAGCCTCGTACGGCTTGAAGCGACGCATGCGAGAGAAACTGCAGATTAAGCTGAGTGGGATGGGTTTATTCTCCTCACCACCAACCTTTTCCCACAGAAACTTGTCTTCAGGAAGATTGCTGTCGCCGAAGTAAAATTCAACCTAGAGGCAATATGTGTGAGACGCATAGCCGCACCCTTTGGTGTTGGGGGAAATAAGGCATACCTGTCTGCGAATTTCACGAGGGTCGTCAGTTTCCGCGAGGGATGTGGGATCCGACTTGACAAATTTCTTCTGTGCGTGAGGACCAGACACCCGGAGCATACCAGGTGGTGGTCGAAAGATAGATGGCTTGTCATCATCATCAGCAGGGGTGCTCTGGACCTCGCTTTCTTTAGAATCGCCCCCTTCAGTTGCAGGCTCGTCCGAGGGCTTCTCGTCCGCTGGTGCATCGGTGGATGTCTCGCCTGTTGGCGCCTCGGTTGGTTTCTCCTCTGTTGATGCGTCTGTGGGCTTTTCATCCACTGGAGACTCAGTGTCCTTGGCCGTTTCCTCGGGGACAGGAGCGACAGGAGGGTTGGCGGCCTCAGCAGGCTTAGTGTCGTTGTCGCTCATCTTCACGATTGAATTGAAAGATGGCCGTATAGAAGAACTCCAGGCTGACGAGAGAAGGACTATTCGAAACTCATAAGTATTTAGAGGCAGGTATGGAAGAATGCTCAAGGTAAGTGGTTAAACAAGGTTGTCTTGTGAAGTTGGAGGGGTAAAGGAAAAGGTACGGCGTGAATGATTCACACGGGGTGCTAAAAAGACAAGGAAGCTTTCGCCATGGGAAGCTAGCGAAACACAAATTTGACAAAAAACGATATGCTTACCAGCGAGTATCGATTATGCACTGGGTTTTCGTTGGTCTCTTGACAGGCCCAACGGAGGATATCTGCTGCTTCTCTCAGGGCTCGACGAAAGCGTGGAAGATATTTTACGAAGAACCTGAGGTCGCGCGCGCTAGACAGAGCTTCGCGAAAAACGGGTGGGCTGGTCTGGTACCAAGCTGTAATAGGGAATTGAAGATTGGGATAGCGGGACCTCGTACTGTGAGAATTACCTACCACCTACTGTACATACATACTGTAGGTATGTAGGTAGGTAGGTAGGTACCTACTACATAGATAGGGAGATATCTGGTAAGTACTTTAGGGGTACAAACAGGCACTAGGGTATAAAAGAATAGCAGGCCCTCTCTTTCAGGTACTTACAAGTAGGCACATAAGTATTTACCTACACAGTATCGACCACTTACTGTTAACAAAACAACCCTTCAATGGGTTTCTGCAGCGATGATGGACGTCGAGCTGTTTCTTGGACAATTAGGATGGCCAATGGGGGCTGTCAATTCGTAGGCCCTCTCTCACTCTGGCACTGGTCTATCCTTATCCTCGTTCAGTGAAGCATCACGGCGGGTTGGCCTATCCCGCCGTGGCACAAGTTCAATCAAAAATGGATTCGATATTCTCGTCCTGTGAAAATCCATCATCACATGGCTCTAACTAGGTAGATAGTCGTAGGTCGTAGAAGGAGTTTCATGAAGGAGTTTGAGGCACCTACGATGTAATGTACAATTGATAGATAGACAGTAGAGAGAGGACGGCGGGTGAATATCAACTGTTCAGGGTGCAGCCGCCGACCCAGAAGAGACAACGAAGAAATATCCAAGCACCTAGACTAAGTAAGCATAGCCTCGCCATTGTCGTCGTACATATTGGTAGTAGACATTGCAGATGTTGTTCTGCTGGGTGTACGTAGTAGTATGGATGCGAAGCTCCTCATTCATTACTAATCAAATATAGTATACCCGCCGAGTTACCTAAAGCTATCTACCGGTACACCGTCGCCTCATTCCATAGTCATCCAGATCCTTGGGTGCTTACTTATTATGGCAGTGGTATTGGAGCTGCACACATCCACTACAAATTGTCTGCAAGTACACGGAGCAGTAGTCTCAATCCTAACGACGCCTCCCCCCCGGTCCCCCCCCCTCCGGAACGATGAGTCTAGACAAGCAAAGACGATGGCGCTTCGCGTGCAACAAGACTACTCGAGACTACTGTGTAGAGAAGTAGGGAAAGAGTCCAGAGTGGAGGTGCACGCTAAAGATATCTGATGCATGTACTACTGCGCTTACATACCTATCCATTCTGTAAGGGTATAAGGGTGTAAGGATCTACCCAGGTAAGTATTACTTGCAGCATCATTGCACCACCATGATACCTGCTTCCCACACCCATTCGAGGTTGAGCCCATCTCACCCATTCATGCGCGCCCATTCATGCTCATCTACCCATATGCGGATTGGCTGCCGCACCGCTATGCTGTGTCTCTCGACATGCGCTGTACAGTAGACGATGTCTGTCGGTGCATGTAAGTAGCTCGCTCGGCTCGGCTTAGCAAGCAGTCGCGCGCATCTTCGAGTTGCCCAATGCACCCCTCCCGTGCACGCTTACTCCAGGCCGTTCCCACTCGAGCGCTCAATATCTCCGAGGGCTTCTACTTGTAGTAGTGTTGCTGTCTCACGTTACCATTGCTCATCTGCCTTATGAGACCTCGCACCCGTATATGATGGATCGCTCGTCTGTGCAAGGCTTGGAACCTCACAGCCAGAGCTATCAAGCGGCCACTAACCCCGCGGCGACCCTTCCAACTGCCCCTGCGACTAAAAAGAAGTCTAGGAGGGGCGGAGATCCTTCATTGCAAAAGCGCCGATGTATTAGCACGTACGTAATTCTTTCGTGATCTGATCTCGTCCTTCCGATTTCACTTGTCCCGCCCTGCCCAGTCCTATCTTGTCCCGTCTCGCCCCCAAGCCAGTCTTGCCCTGGCTTGCGACTAGGAATGAGGACGCGCGCTGATAACCATGCCGCCTTTGCAGTGCTTGTATAGCCTGTCGCCGACGGAAGTCAAAATGCGATGGCGCTCTACCCAGTTGCGCTGCCTGCGCCAGCGTGTACGGCACCGAGTGTGTCTACGACCCGAACTCGGACCATCGGCGGAAGGGTGTGTACCGAGAAAAGATTGATAGCATGAAGGCCTCCAATTCGACACTTCACATTCTGATCGAGGCCATTCTCAATGCTCAAGAGGAAGATGTATACGACGTTGTCAAGCGTATTCGCACATGCGACAACTTAGACGTGGTGGCTGAGTCCATGCTCAACCAAGAAAGCGTGGGTGGTGGAACGCAAGACGGAATCCAGTCACAGGATGATTATTCCACTGAAATACCGGTTGAAGGCGAAAGAGATCTTGCCCGGAAAATGGGCGAGCTACGAGTCGAAAACGGGACAACGCGCTTCATTGGCGGTACTTCTCACCTTATACACTGGGATGCGCCCGGCTCACCGACCACCGACTTGGAGGCCGTTGATATGGAGGGAGTGGATGCCGATCCTATTACGAGTTGGTCCACCGTCACCAAAGATCCCGAAGTTGTCACCCATCTTCTAAACATGTACTTCAACTGGCATTATCCTTACTTCACTACCCTGTCGCGGAGTCTATTCTATAGGGACTTTTTCAGGGGCAAGCAGAACGTTGCACCACACAAAATATCTTATTGCTCTTCTTTATTGGTTAACGCTATGCTGGCCCTCGGCTGCCATTTTACGAATGTTAGTACCGCTTACGCAGTAGTGGGCGATAGCTGGACCAAGGGGGACCATTTCTTCAGCGAGGCAAAACGGCTCATTATTGACCATGATGAATACGAGAAACCTCGTTTGACTACTGTTCAGGCTTTAGCGCTGATGTCTGTCAGAGAAGCAGGCTGCGGTCGAGAAGCAAAAGGCTGGGTTTATAGTGGTATGAGCTTCAGAATGGCGCAGGACTTAGGACTCAACATGAATCTGAGCGGTATTAATGGCGACCTCGAGCACCTTAACGAGAAAGAAGTTGATGCTCGGACCGTAACGTTTTGGGGGTGCTTCTTATTCGACAAATGCTGGTCTAACTACATGGGCAGGATGCCCCAGCTTCCCAAAAACTCATACAGCGTACCAAAGTATGACGTTTTCCCGGAAGAGGACGCTGAGAACTGGTGCCCATACACAGACTCAGGGTTCGATGAAAGCTCCAGGCAGCCAGCACGAACGCGCGCAATCGGATTACAACTATCTACGCTATGCGAGATTAGTAGCGACCTTCTACTCTTCTTCTATCACCCTAGCCATATTGGGCGATCCAGCGGCAAATCGGTTGAGCTGAAAAAGTTGAGCGAGCTTCATCGGCGCCTTGAAGAGTGGCACAAAGAATTGCCCGCAGAACTTCAACCTAAAGACGGCCAGTTGCCGAATGTTATTCTCATGCAGTAAGTAAAAAGTCGTCGCGTGTCCCACATATGTATGTATTTGCTGAGTGAGCAATAGCATGTTCTTTCATCTCCAGTACATACACTTATTTCGCCCATTTCTCCGTTACGCCCCAAAGGCTTCACCTCTGCCACCACACGTCTCTCCCCGGAGGATATGCACGGCAAATGCCGGGGCTATATCCAAGCTAATGCGTCTATATAAAAAGATTTATAACCTACGTCAGATCTGTAATATTGCTGTATATATGCTGCACTCGGCCTGCACCATCCACCTATTGAATTTGCCAGAAAAGACCGCAAGGAGGGATATCATACATGGCGTTAAACATCTTGAAGAGATAGCGGAAGATTGGATTTGTGGACGAAGAGCCCTCAGTATCTTAAGTGTCCTTTCTCGCAAATGGAGCGTCGACTTGCCTGACGAGGCAGCTCAGGTCCTACACAGGACCGATGAACGATGGGGCACATTCAATACCTCAGATGTCCCTTCTCCTCGTTCCCACATCCTTGTTACCACAACTAAGAATACACCATCACCTACAGCAAGACTCGATTCCCAAAGTCCCCCAAGGGATCCTGCACCTTCACCCCCGATCATCCCCAAGACTAGTTTGTCTCCCGAACCTGTTGCCACCGGTATGATGCCACCGCCAGACTTCCAGTCACACCCACGCTTGGCAGGACAGCCGATGACTCATGCAGGAGCTGTCATGGGAAAATCAACAGTAGACCTCAGAGTCCTAAACTCCCCAAGCTGGCAACCCGCACCCATAAGCGAAGCGGCACCCCCTTATTCTCAGCCTTATGCCTCTTATCCAAGTAGTGGCCAGGCAGGAGAAAGTTCTCAAAGCATCCCTACTCATGCAGCAACACAGCTGTTGAGACAGAGCTCTATGTTTGTCGCTGATGGACAGGAGTGGTATCTCAAAGACGGCGTGAACTGGCAAGCTGGCTTCAACGCTTGGAACATTGGGAATATGAATACTCCTCAACCCTCAGTTACTATGTCAGATCAGCAACTCTTTCTGTTTAGTCCTAGCGGGCACGCAACAGCAAATGCTGCAAACCGCAGTCAGCTTCCACCAGAATTCAGCTTCGATGGCCTTGATGATTTAGCCTCGTTGGAGGGTTGGGATCTTCCGAACCTTGAGTAGCCGCAATATATGCTATTAAGCATCTTAACTGTATAGCTGTTATCGTGGGTCAGAACACTACACCTTCTCAAGGGACTTGGTACTTCAGACAGGGGGTGGGACAAAACAGGTAGTTCTAATAATTGCCGATTTCAGAGCTATTGGGGATCTACAGAAGTATGAAAGATACAAAGCTAGGAGCAGGAAACTTTATGGCTGTTATGTATCAACGACACTTAACGACTGATGACGAATATAGTGCTACCTTTATATCGTTCACCTTGAACTTCATCATTCATACGTCAATGTGTAGTTTTGTGCCATTTCATGATAAAGTTTATATATTTATCTTTCTAATGAGCCGGAAGGTTGGAGTTACTTGATAACACGCGTGCTACCCATCAGCTACCCATCGACAGTTTCAGTATAATGCAAAATGCACATAGAAGATGTATTCTAGCGGCTGGTATCGCTTATATTATACACGTCAACACAGCCTTATCGCCTTCTATACTAGCCCTGCTACTATGTTCTTCCATCGCTAATCGCACTATACAGACATGACTATGTTATATCCAATGGGCTGTGCCTTTCTATACACAATTCGGCCAATCTTAAGGATGGGTTAGGGCAGGTACATCCACACATGTATACTGAATTAATATGAAGAATTACCTACAGAGCCCTCGGGATCTCGTTGATGTGACATTTTCATACTGAGTGTATGCCCTACGTGGAGCGATTTTTAGAAACAGGATTGGACGCTTGGTAATTTTAGGCTGGATAATCGGTGTATGTCCGGTCTCAGAAGCTCCTTTGGTAAAACGCATCACATACATGTAACTGTAGACTTCAACTGATACAGCATGAAGAGAGCCTTGTCTCGCTCTGGGAGCTGTTGGGAGTGGAATTTTTTATGTTTACGCATCTGACCTCGGCGCCTGAAGCTGCGTCTTAAGCTTAAGAAAAGCTTTTCACGGGGTATTCACGTCGTGGTAGGTTGTATATCTTTACTAGGCGATTCTAAACAACTATAGACACTGCGTTCAAACTTCTATGGTGTGGCTTCACGTTAAATATCCTTTCTCGCTTACCATACCAAAGTACAGCTTGAACGATCAATGGTCTTGTTATCTTGCTATGAGGGTCGGTGTTTCGTCGATGCACAAGAGCGCCAAGCCTACAAAAGGACTCTTAGTCTGAGTATGCAAATAAGATCAGAGACAGCAGGGCACCGAGCACACATGTAGAAAGGAGGGCTCAAATGAAACAAGATCTATGAAGGTTACGAAGACGCTTATAGAAGCCATTTGAGAAACGTGTACATGGGAGAAATATATAATAATGTTGACGAACTTTAATATCTACTGTAATTAAAGCCTCCTATGCACAGATGCTCAATTCTAGCCATCGAAGAAACTAGAATTCATCACTTGGCAATATCAAGTGAAGTATATGCCCGTTTTTAGCTACTTTTAATATGATAGGTACTATCGAATGCTATTGCATGAGATGTAGCATGAGACGAATGAATCTCATATTCTTGGAAGGCACGGATAGCTGAGCTCCGATATCAATCAGGGTGAACGTCAGAAGAAACGAGATATGAAGGGCAGATTACTATGCAGCAATACTCGCAAGGCAAGATCCTGTAGACTCGGAAAGAGGGCCTGAGAATACCTTGGAATGTAAGATTATTCCTATAATGGACATCAGTTTTGCGTTCCATGTTGTGTTCTACTATTTCTGTATCCTATCTCTTGGAGAGCTCCCGCCTAATGTATAACCGTTACTTGTATCAGAGAAGATTATGTTTAGGATACAATTTTACCTTGCAGAAGCCAATATGATCAAGTTGAAGTGTATGGAAATAAGGAAACTTTCATATACCGTTATTTTCAGTCTTACAATTCCCTGTGAACAATCATCAAAGCGTGCCCAACACAATAACTATATGGAGTACAATATCAGTCAAGACCGCACTGCTTGCTCCCTGCAGGAAAAAGGCAGCTATGTCTCTACATGCTATACAATAGCTACCCATGTGCCTCAGTGGTTGAGGATATGTATAGTCCGAGACATCTGGAGCATGATAACGCACGGGAGCCCAAACGACATTGGTGGCGACGGTTCTACTCTCCATTTCTGTGTCATTGTCTGTCCACGTATTGCTAAGCACCTCCACAGAACGGGACGGCTCGGAATTCCGCAATACACCGTCGTGGTTCGAATGGAATGGTAATAACAGGCGTGACCCTAAGACGCAACGGGGGCAGGGAGTTGTTGGGAAAATTAAAATTAATAGAAGCATCAGGTTAGAGATCAGGCATCACTCGGGCTCTTTGCTGCCCGGGCGAGCTGTCCCCCCTCCATCTCGTTGATGTGTAATCCTGAAACACTTCCTATCTACCTTGGAGATGTAGATCAGAAATACTTTCTGCCAAATCAACCGTTATGTTTAGAGACGAGTAGGGCCTCTTTCCAGGTAGGCTAGTATGGTAGTGGGTATCGGTGAAGCCTTATCCTGTTTCACGTGGGTAACCGTCAAATGTAACGCTCATCAGTGCGTGACACCTGGAGTAGCAGGTTGGAAAGTACGGGACACGCCTAGATGGTGTAAGTATAGACGGCAATAGGCTTTCGGTGAGGACTGGTTGTGACTCAGTGTATCACCAGTTTGCCAGTGTTGTGTTGGGCGTTTCGATTGGGAGCGTGGACAGACCTCGATCGAGTGGTTAAGGCGCGCCGAGATCGCGAAGGGGTCATTCATGGCTGCCTATGGCAAATCTAAATCAATTAATGTCAGTTCAAAAGCGATACAGAGCTTTGTGGGGTCAAGTATGATAGGATTGTCGGGGTTTGCTGTGCGTCCCTACATTATGCTCGTTTGAAGGCGGAATAGGAGTTGCGTGTCCTTTGATGTTTCGCACTGGGGGCGCTCAGGTTTACGCCCAATGCGACGGCAGCTTTTACCGGCTTTAGAGCCTTCCTAGCATTGCCGTCCTCCGTTTCCATCTTGGGATAGTGCCTGGGGAGGAACGAACAGATGGAATGGGTGAAGTTCGTAGTCTGAAGACCAATTGGAACCTGTACTCTGACAACCCCCATCCCATCCAGGAACTCACAGCTTCCTTTTTTTGTTTTGTTTTTCCTCGCCCGCTTATGGCGGCTGGAATTTGTAGATGCCACGTTGATGAAGGAAACTGGGTTGTATTGAGTGCGTCAAAACATGGAGCCGTTTCGCTCGTCACTACCCATACCGGGACTCTTCGCAATTCGGTGATTGTTACCGTGCAATTACCAACTTGCAGGAGAAGACAAGCTTTCCACTTCCTACTACTTGGCATAAATCACGGGTACTGATAGGAGCAGGTATGGCGGTAACTGTGCTGTCTTTGGGTCTCGTCTTAAAAGCATACTCGAGCGCCGGTGTGTCGACAGAATTCTGTAGCCAGCCCTTGTCGGCCGGTTAAGCGGACAAAAAGTTCCGCGGCTAACGCGTGGTGTGTTAGGGACGGACTGACACGGGGTCAAGCTTTTTGCTAATGCTCATTGCTGGGCAAGGGTTCAGGGCTCGCGGAGGACGACCGGTACATAGTGGCGCCCAGGCTTCCCAGTTGAATTGTATGCATGTATTGCGTTGGGTCGTCCGTTATGGTCGGCTGTCTATTTGCTTTTTCTGTGTCGGCAATATGGGACGAAACGGCCTTGTATATGTGCCCAGCCGATGATTATCGTGGACCACCTGCCATTCAAAAAAGCTCGTTTCCAATTCGAGGACCAGTAGTCGGCACTTACAACTGGCGGTGACATGGGTACTGGGGCAAAACGGTGATACTCTGGCTTGTTGAAGACACAATTGTTGATGATCTGGATACAATGGGGCGTGTATAGCTGCGTGGACATGGAAGATTATGACGGCAACTAGTAGCAGAAAGTGGTTGAATAACCTTTCCTGTGATAGCTCTAAACCTTGATAATCAGTAGATATAGCGGTCCCTGCCAATTGACGACGAGAATACCTAAGTGTATAACATCAGATAGAGTCTACGGAGTGTAGCCGCTTACTATACATTGGAAGAGATCCCTGTTCAGTTCACACTCAGGTGTTCAGCCAGTATTCGATAACTATCAGAGATGATAGCAGCTTGTGAGTATGATACTCTTACCCCTGAGCTGCATCCATCCCCAAGGTTGTACACTTACTTGCAGGTGGTCTAAACAACAGATATGGAATACATAGCAGGAATTACATTAGGCATGGTCTTTCTGGGTAGGATGATGCGCCCTTGGCACGGGCTGGAGAGGAGAATCTATGATCAGCACATCTCGCAAAATATAATATGCTCTGAACATAAACTGGCTAGCAGTGAATTGAGACTCGACACACCTGCTTTCTGCTCACCTACGTCATGCCTACAGCGTGCTTACAGCGCTCTGCTGGCGTATACCTATGTAACCCACCTACAGATTGTATGAGTTCCGGGTCACTGTTGCAGTTTGCATGCTTCGGCATCTGAATCGTTTTTCAATGGAAGAAATTAGTACATAGTGAACCCTAGAATCCACATACTGCTGCAACACGTATACGTCTCTAGGGAGATGGAGAATTACATATTACTAGGAACATCAATCTGTGGGTTTATGTTGCGGCCTAGTCACCAAAAGAGCTACCTAATCTCTTTTGACGGCTTGTTCACCGCTATGTTAACAACACGGGAGGCTTCGAAGAGTGGCCTTATGTCTCCCGTAACAGAAAACAGAGTTGAGTCACAGCATTCATACTCACCAGGCAGTATTGGTAATACCATGGACGCCGAGGGTCCACCCCTCAGGCGAAAGCATGCACTGATTACCATTGTTAATGGGCTGCTGTATTCTCCAACTCTTTGGATATTGATTTGGCGAAAGGGGAAGCGAAAATCATGCCTGCACAACTTATCCTTCGAGAGCCATCGTGGCACAAAGCTCGCCACGTGTTGTGGAGCTGGTACAGTGCAGAGCGAGGTGAAGAATTGGTCCCGAGAATAAATGATGCCATTAATGCCGTGGTATGTAAACTGCATATGTGGGTATCTGTGATCTCTAGATACCGCGGCTCAAAATGTGACAGTCATTCGTCAGAGGAATCATATGCAATCTGTCCCAGGATTAGCATGCAGGTACGCCATGCATGACTATCCACGAGGGTTTTTAGGGCTCTGACCATTAATTATTTGCTAAGAGTTAAGGCTCGATTGTTTCAAGACTGAAGAATGACCCGGCGCCGGAGCCCTGCTGGCACATCTAGCCTTCTTTGTATCTGCCGTTGCTGGGTCTTCGGCACTAGATGAGAAGGCGCAGCAGTTGCTCATAGTCACGTCTGGTAGGGAAGTCAAAGAGGAATGAAATGGAATTTAATAGGAATGATTCGCCGGCAAGCAAGAACAGGAACGCAGGCCGATTAACAATACTATATGCCGCAAGACACAACAACGAAATAACTTCGAAGACAACGGAACGCTGCAAAAAGACCACAACTCGTACAAAGAAACACGTGAGAGGTTTGATCCGCTCCCGGGATAATTAGCCCGGGATCCGTGTCTGGCACCGCGGATCCGGATGGGCTTCCCGCGGGGGTTAAGGAGTTCGACGTGTCATATCATGCAGTAGGCATCCTGCTCTCTGTGCCCTTCGAGTAATGCACGATATATGCCTCCTACCCACCAAGAGTTACTGACTCTCAGAGGCCCTGACAACCAGGCGAAAGTGTAACGCAACCAACTACGTAGTACTAGGTATACGAAAAGTGCACCAGACAGTTTGCGCAGCCGTACACTTAGTCCTAACCGAACAATATGTTGAACACCGCGTCATACGTCATGCGCCCGTAAGGATACGCAAGGCTGTCTCTTCCAGCCTCACAGCGAATAGCAGAGCGCTGATAGATGCATATATCGAGGCATTACAGACATATGACTATAGAATTACGGTTCATTTACCTTCTACCTCGCCGACCTCTTTCGTTTTTGTAGCCCACGCTAGGTACCTCTCTACTCAAAAATATCCAACAGAGCTGGCGGGTAGCCCTATTGATTATCAATCCGAGTTATAGCTACACATAGCATATGTAGCTCTGAGTGTTCTGAATGCAGGCTACCGAGCTAAGTACTGTTATAGAACATTGGTATTGCGCGGTTGCATGTGCTCCTCTCCGCCCTGCGCGGCTAATGGGGGCAATCGACGATAGATAACGCCGGTGTGTATGCAAGTCGATAAAAACGTGTGCGGAATCCTGCACCTGATCGTAAGATGAAGACTAGACCGCACAGGACCATGAGTTGATTTGTTGCTTTGGAGGCGCTAGCTCCAACCGCCTTGTGGCGATGCTTCCAATTCGACTCTTGACCGCATCGGACACAGCACCCAAGTGAGGCCAGAACACAGGATCTGCGAGTTTACCCCTGAAAAAGCCGAGTGTTTACCGTTGACACGTTAGAGGATGTGCGCGCGGGCGAGCTGCGAAACTTGCGTAACATATAGGAAGGTAGGGAGGCGGGTAGATAGGCACGTAGATGGATGGACAGATGTGAATGTGGATAAGGCATGCTACGGATGAATGGAAAGCGGTAAAATGTGAAACGTGGGATGGAGAAGAAAGAGAAAAAAAAAAAAAAGGTGAAAAGCTTCGCCGCAACAGGCAAACCGACAAGTGGCTGGGCCTCTCTTCTGAGACAGGTGATTGGTAACGTCAACGGTAGGTAGTATGGTACTGGTATCTGTGTTTCAACCCCGAGTTTCTGTTGGTAATTATCATAAATGGATACTGACTTCTGCCGCGAGCGGTTAGTTCGCAGCCATGAGCCATGGTACTGAGAGAGGTAACATCAGCTTTATCAATACCTACATCGTATAAGGCATTGTGGGGGGAGAGGGAGATGCCATCTGCTCGTGTTTCCGGGTTTGCTAGCCAATGCAGGCCCAGTTGTGCTGGAATCAAGATGATAGGAAGATAAACGAACATACAATGGAGAGGTGTGTAAGCCGGCAGTTTTGGTTCGTCATCTCATCTTTCTGCCGTCACTAGCGTACATACTAAGTATAGTAAGACTCTAGGCGAAGTGTAGTCTAGTATGCAGATGAACCACGAGTTATCAGGTGTTGCGATCTCGGCAGATTGGTATAATCTTCAGTCGTGTTTCGACAACTTATCATTACTTCCTGGCCCTATCTATTTAGGTGTGGGACATGGCGTTCAAGTTATGTAAGTAACCTGTGATGTCCTCAAATAGTGACACACTCAGGGCTATAACTTGGGCCATGTGCTACGCAGTTGGTCAGCTTGGTTGTCATGCTTGCACTGTACAGTTGAACAGACCATCGGTACTGTAGCTAGTAGTCAAAATGGTGTAGTGTGACCATCCAATGTGGAGAATCTACATGGGTTAGAGACGAGATGGGTCGACAAGGCTGGGTTTCTGGTTAGGTGATGTGCAGGACTTGTATGTTAAATCTAGAGTCCTAGTAGTATTTGCAGTCTAGGCGACGAATTCTTAGTATGTTATGTATATTCAGATATACACCAATGTACTATAGATAAGGTTACACTATATAGGAAATATCACTAAGTATGTTCCAGCGGTGAGAGCCCTCAAGGGCACTCGTTGGTAGAGATTAATAAGCTAGTATGCTAGGTACCGTGCACCAGGGCGGCACAGAACCCGGATTCTAGACCAAAACCAGGGGTGCTGAAGTGAGATACCTAAATGTAGAGTGGTGCAATCGTAGGATCAGCATGTCGAAACCGGGAGGGCAACCCAGGTTATCGGATATGATGTCTCACTGGTAACCTTGACCTTGTCACTATAACGACTCCACAGCGCTTAACTCATAACTCACAACTCGCAACACTAGCGAGACGTTGATTTCTTCGTGTAGTGATGGGGAAAACAGAGCGTTGCCGTTACTTAGTATGAGAGAAGTGGCTATATGAAAACTGCGAACCCATTCTACAATTTCTAGCAAATTACCTAAGGTTTAGTACCGAACCACCAGGGTTTCTCGATCTGTGTAACTAGGTAATGTTTAATATATGTCATACGACATTCCCTTGATTCACTTCAACCTTACATGTCTAGGTACTTAAGCAGGTGGTCGTGTACACGTATCATGCATACACAGTAGTATACAACTTACGTGCCCCTTTGAACTGGTCTGCCGACTTTTCTACATCCTGGACTGTGTACACTAATATGTAGATAGTGTGTGCGTGTGTGTGATTTGTTGAAGCTGTTGTCTATATTGATTGTGCCGTATCTATGTAATCATACCCAGCTTCACGCCCATAGCCCAAGCCTCCCCCCGCGGAAGTCCCTCCCCTGCCTCGAAAGGCCGTTCTACTATCACATACTGTGTATGTGGTGTAGAATGTTGTCTGAAGCCGGGCGTCTGGTGTGGTGTTTAGCGTTGGTATGTAGCTGAGGTGCCAAGCGGCCACCACTACACGATGAATGTGCAGGGAGGGTGTCGATTATCATGTTGTGGGGGTGTAATTCTTTTGACCGCGCGCGCCCCGGACACCATCACACAACTCATCACCACACTCACCACTAGGAGTACGTATCGAACAATGTAATTTACTGCCAAGAGAATACTTGCTTCATAACCCTCTCGCCACTTTATCATTATTGCATTCTACACACCCTGAAATGAACCCATTTACTTTTTTTTTTCTTTCCTTGCCGTAGACTTGGATGAGACCTTGTATATGTGGAAAAAAAAATTTACCTCCCCTTCCCTCCATCTTCCGCCGAACCTGAACTCCCTGGAATGACTTGCCTAGAGGGGGAATTGAAGCAGACAACCGTAGCCAACCGAAGACTGTGACCACCTTATTCCTTGTAACCGTGCCCCATCTCTAGTTCGTATACTTGCGGAGGGGAAAAGCGTCCCCGGGCATCGGCTCCAAGTGCCACGTCTTGGGGCCATTCTCTGCGAATGCATCTGTCCATTCTTGGTGGAGACTCTCTGGTATGGACCACCCCATACTCGAGCTCCGCAGTCGCATGCGGACCAGATGCCGCTTCTCATCTGGCGATGCACCATCCACGAACCCCTCCCGCCGGTGCAAGATGGTGAAGTTGTTGATGAAGTGCATGTCGCCACTGCGGGTCTTGATCTCCATCTGTAGAGCCCGGGCGATGGTCTCCACTAGATCCAGCGCCTCGCACTGGCGATCGTTAAGCTGAGGGAGATGCCCCGGTCTGGGATGGGTGGCGCTCCCTAGCAGAGGCGCGCGACTGAAGTTCATAATCACCCTGCCGCCGTGGCAGAACAGCAAGGGACGGCACTGGAAGCGAGGGCTGATGCCTATGTCAACGGTGACTGAATCACTTTTAAAAATACTCTATAAACTCGTTTACCATACACACAACCGACAAAGGTTACGAGGAAAAGGCCGAGACAGAAGAGAGAAGAGAGAGAGAGAGAGAGACAGGGCGTGATAACTTACAGCGCAATAGGCCAATCAGACTTGCTAAGTGTCCGGATGACATCCGGGCGATGTGCGGCAAGGATATTGTAAATCGTGTAAACAGGGGCAAGAATGCATCTACCTCCAGTCTTCGAGGTACCGCGGGTGAGCCAGCTTATCACATCGCCGGCTTCCTCGTTGTGGAATGTCTAGCAAGTAGCATTTTTGATTAGTTGAAAGAGCCAATCCTAGGCTGCGTGAGAGGTGCCTACAATGGCTGAGGTCGAATGGCGGTGATGGCCGAGTTTTATCTCAGACGAGTTATCGGCCACAATGTGCACTGTTCCGTGTAAGCTCCGTGTCAGCTTCCTCGACCGATCGGTGAGAATACCTAGCATGTTGCCTCGATGGTCTTGGCGGCCGCATTGATCGGCAATGTATGCCTGAACTCCTAGCCGAATGATGGCAAGGTCTTCGACAGAATAGTCACCTGGGTCAAGCCCACGGATAACATGGAAGCCCTTGCCATTGTAGATATCATCGCCTATGGTCCGCAATTTGGGGCCAAGGCTTGGTAGAAGGAAGTTATCCTGGTTTACCAAGTTCCCGTCCAATTCTTGAGCTAAAATCACGATTGAAATCAGCATGAATTTGGCCCCAGATGTCAGCCATTACAAGCAAGTACCTTTGAAATCATCCTTAGCCCGTCGTAACTCTGTTACCTCTGCCGCAGATAGGCGGTAAACGTAACTTGCTTCTCCCACAAAGTCTGCCTTGTTCCAGGCGAACGACTTGCATGCCCGGGATGGATAGCCACTCGGTAGATCAACCAGACTGTCTTGAGCAGGGTCTGAGCGCGTTGACGCATGCAGAGGCACCGGGAGACCAAAATTGCTCAGATTATGGGCGAGGACTGGTCCAGCAACCTGGAAGTCCCCCATTTTTTTCGATTGGAGTAATCGTTCGTGCTAATGACGTGTCTGTGAGCCAATGAAGCCTGTCTGGGGTAATAAGCAACGACTTGGCCAAGACCAAACTTCAAGAAATGTTGCAAGCACGCCCGAACTTGGGAAACTTGGAGGCAAAATTCTATACAGGATAATGGCAAAGTCGATTAAGCGGCGTTGTCCCAATAGACAGGTTCAGTATATATGCTAGAGTCGAGCGATTCGGCTAAACACCCCAGTAATGGTAGGGAATTAGTACAGGAAAAGACAAGAGCTTCGAACAATGAGTAGTAACTCGAAGGTTCCACCAAAGAGCGACTGCGTGATTCCTATAAAGCGGATGAGGTATCTGACTAGGACTAGGGGAACGGCTACTGCCACATATATGATGGGTGTGAGCTGGCGTAAAACAAAATGACGAAAACTTTTCTACCGTCTAGCGTTGCCGCCGTTGGGAACAGCAAAGCAATGCTTCGGTCTTCAGGGAGAGGACGAGAAACGAGAAATTATGATGAGTTGTAACCGATCGAGATTTGACGTAGTGTAGGACAGATGATGGAGCCCCGGCGACATCGTTGAAGCCCAACCTTTCTTCCACTGACACCTCCCTGGTGACACTGTGAGACAGCAACAGTGTTCCTTGTGAGATACTAGACTACGTCTTGCTGTCACTTCACAAGGATTTTTCTGCGAGATTGGGTGGCGTGCTCTGGGGAGCTGTTAAGGGTGTTGGGGTTGTCTAAACCCTGAGCGGGCCGGGCTTGTTCCCTGAGCCGCACCATTGTCTGCTTGACTGATATCAAGCAGGGCAAGACAGCGCAAGTAGTCGACGATATGAAGCTCGTAATTGTGAAAGGAAAGGGCCCGTTCTATAGACAACTGAACGCCACAGTGATATGAATACCCTTCAGGCTAGACGCTTGGTTCTGCTCGGGAGCATCTAGCCGGAGACGGATCAGGACTTGGTTTGCCAGGCTTTCTCTTGGCACGACTTTTCTATACCCAAGTATCTGGTCCGATGGCAGTAAAGGCGTGATCTTCATCGTGCCTCTGCAATACCTATCCTTCGCAATATGCACCCGACTGCCGTAGCACATGCCAAAGGCGGCTCAGTCATATCCCATCGGATCTGGCCCGGATAACACAAACCCTCTTCTCATGCAGTAGACCCAAATATCGAGATAGTGTACCCTAGCGATCAACGTCGCACTAGACAAGCAGTCTATGTGGGGTGACAAGCGGCGAAGCTTCCTAGATCGGGAAATTATCAGAATGTGTTCGCCCAGATGCATACACGCAGATGCAGAGCAATAAGGCAGCTCGCAGTAGTCCTTGGGATTGATGTATGACTGCGTTGACGAAAGGTGTACCTACCTACGTAGTGCGTACTACAACATACGATACCCGATTCACATCCCGGCCCCCTGGTCTTTACTAATCTTTTTAAAACTTACTTTTTTCTTTTCCTTTCTCCCTGTAACCAGGTTGATGGATGCAGTGTACTTACATGGCAAGTGAGATTGAGCTGCTGCAATAAATATCTATATCAAATAATATAGATTCCGAAACCAGATCTTCGGGGGTCTTGTGGCGGCTAGATCTGTCGAGAATAGTGTACACGCAAGAGACCCGTTCCGGCGGCCTTGTAACAAGGTGGTGGATGTAATAGAAACGTCCTTCGTTGGTTGGCCAGTCTCTTGATCTTTCTCATGACTCAGGGCGTCTGTCTACTTGTCCAGCAGGTGCATTGTTTCATAGTAAGTCTTTCCAATCTTGATCATCTCCATTTCAACAATGTACTGCAGACCTCGGTCAGCCTGGGGGCAGATTTACGCTACTGTCATCCCATCATGCAATGCACGTCCAATCCAGGATGAAGTATAAGCACTAGTTGTTCTTCGTTGTCTTTATATAGTATAGCTAGCTGGATTTTCGGTGATAACCTACACTACTCATTTCCTACATGGGCTTCTTGTGCTTCTCTAGTGCCAATCTCGTACCTCATGACAGCTAGCGTGAAGGAGCGGTATTCGGTAGACTTTGGGATGACAACCTAGATTGTGGGCTGTGGCATCCAGTTCTCCTCAAACAGTTGGCTTATATAAAAAAAGTCGTCCTCGTAGTCATTGCTTTCGCGGACCTTGGCCCATGTTTTCCCTATGGATAGTCATTGGTCAGTGACTGTCATCGTACCTTGATGAATACTACACCATGACACACATGCATAAACCCCTCTCATCTGGCGAAATCTGGTCAGACACTTTCTCACTAGGGACAACATACTGTGCTTTTCTACATGTACTTTCGTCTGTCTGATAAATTGTGCCTTAATCTCACTCAGTGCGGCCAGCGTCGTCAAATCCTGTTCTTTACATTCTGCCGAGAACGGGTGTATGCCTACCATCGGTCAGTGTTACCTGCGGCTTGTCACACGTGGCCTTCAGGCGATGTCCTCATACCTTTGTTGCAATAATGAAAATATGCCAATAGAATGTTTGCACCTGCGAAATTGTTAGGCAGGCCATTTATGAGGGGTAAGAATACAACCATGTACTCACCCAACTGGTATTCTCTGACCATATCCTCCCTTGCAAAGCGAGTCTGAAACATGGTTGTCAGCCATCTCGCCTTCTTATGGGGCCCATTGACCGTCAAGATAGTAGCACTTGAGCACGAGAAGGGCCGACTCACTTTCATACCGTGTTTCCGAGCATAGCTGGCATCGTGCTGACAAAGAAGGGCTACGTTATGCAGTAATATGAATGTTATAAGGTACGTAGTGAACCAAGTGTGCTGTTTGTTGGCCTGCGTTATTGTTTGCAGGTTCTCAAGCATCTCTCGTCGAAGACTAGACTGGATCTGGTGGATCAGAACCAGCTCGATTTGTGCGCCCATCACCGGCGGGAGAGGAATCTTTCCTCGCAGCGAGCTCGTTTCATCCATAATGTCGGGAGACATCCCCAACGTCTCCTCGCCTACAATAACCGTTGACTTTGTCGTCATACGAACAGCCATCCACAGTTGAAGTGCTTTATTCAGAAGCTCCTTTTCCTTCTCACTGGCCGTAGGATCACGTGTGACTCTCAGTGCTGCTCCGTATGTCCCCAACAGCAGCTTGTCCTTGCCAAATAAAATCCTCTTGCAGCACTCCACGAAACTATTGTTAATATAAGCGGAATAGGCGTTCTTAGCTTCCTCAAGATTCACGATAGCGTATGCGGGAATCCTGACTCGCTTTCTGACGCCATCATGCACCCACGTTCGCTCGAGCGAGTCCCCCTCTTGAGGCACAAACTGCCGAACCCGAAGCTCCACCGCGTCTTTGGTGTATCCCTCTGATACTCTGACCTTTCGAGTTTCCGTTGACGCCCAATGCGAGATATCGTCCGGAACACCTTCCACCCACCGCCGTGTCCACTCGTGACCTTTCACTGGTCCAGGCTTGAAGAGCCTCACATCGGTGATCTTGTACCGAAGACATGGCATCCGCCATACTTTCACATTTGACACCCGCGAGCAAGTCAGACAAGTACCCGTCCTATCATCTGGGTTCGTTTCACACTGGTTATCTCTGTCAGCAAAAAGACTCTTACAAGCTACTAGTGACATACGCGTATGCGTTGCATTCTGCATCGAATGCAGCTCCCAATCCGCCTTGTTTCGGCCGTTTTTTCCCTGTCATGCTGGTTTCTGAACGGCCCTCTTCTTGCAGGGGGCGGTTTCTGGCTCGACGCAACAAAATCCAATTCGCGGGTTTGTGCATGCATTTGATTTCTGTCAACTTCGATATGAGCGTACACCGACGTGTCCCTATATGGTCTTCTAGGCCCTTCCCCTCCGCCCGGTAGAGGAGCGGTGAAGGGTTGTACTCTAGTGATGTGATTAGTACCGGAGGGAGAAATAGGCGAGGCAGGCTGCAGTATAGGTTGTTCTGGATATCCTTGGCTGGGAACAGAGAGGGCAGGCCCAGGATATACCATGCCTTCGCGACTGGTGGTAGGTTGAATGGCCGTTAATCGATCTGGCTGCAAAACGCTATAATTAGGAAACATCTGCTGCGTCATGATAGGGCTATTGCTAGCAAACAGCCTGGGTGGAACCGGAGACAACGTGCTAGGCAAGGGGTGAGAAGACTGGGGTTTATTGTCAACAAAGGGCTGTGTCTCAGTATAGTCATACGGGCTGGCTGCCGGTATGCTGGCGTAACCTGAGCGGAGTTTAGCATCCTTGCAGCAGCATGATCATGATCAAGGGCCACGGCTACAGACCTTGAGGTTCACATGTTATGCAAGGTGAACACACGGAGAAATTGGCGAGGCACTGCGCCAGGCGAGATGACCCAATGCCTAAAGTGAAGCTGTTCAGCGACTCGCCTTGGGTACCAGGGACGTCATGGTCAACTGTCGACGATTTCTCATGGGTCTCATGGGTTGGCGGCATGGCCGTAAGATCTTGACTCAAGCGTGGTCTCTTGGAAGGTATGGTATATGATGGAAAAGGGGTGGGAAATTGTGACAGACCAGCCCTGCGATTATCAAGACTATATAGCTCAGAAACTGGACAGTTGAGGATGGAAGCAGCCTGGGCAAGTATATTTATCTCATTCAACGACAGGTCCTCGGGGGGGATCACAGTAGCAGAAGCAGCAGGGTACGAAGAAGGATCATGGGCCACAGGCACCGCAGGGGGACCCTCGTGGCCATGAGGGCGGCGTTTTCTCAGATTAGAATTACTCTATCCACAAGTCAATACGGCTTGCACATCGGCGAGGGCTTATGCAATAAGACGTCGTATGGGGCGGAACGCAACCAAGTGGTCTGGCAGGAAGATCTTACCATCGTGCGTTACTCGAAGAGGTACGTTTATAGAAGGTGTGTTGGACAAGCAACTTAGTCAATATCCTAACAGTGCAAAGACAGGGGGATGCACTTTGGCGCGGATCGATTTGCACATCTGGTGGACAGGCGCTATAGCAGCACTGGGACTGGCGACGGCGGCGGTCGCAGCAGCAGCAGCAGCAGAAACAACACCAAGCAGCAGCAGAGAGAGGGCAACGAGTAGTACCGAGACCGCCAACGGCGACGGTAGCGGCAGCTCCAAGGCCAACCACTTCCAAGTACCAGGGCAGCACCAGAACCAGCACCAGCACCAGCACCAGTGGTACGTTGTGGCGAACGTTGCGCCTTACCCAAGTTTAGAGGGGGGTGGATAGAGAAAGACGCCCCGTGTCAGTAACTCACAAATGTCATCGCTTCACACGAAAATATGACAGAGTAGGTAGCCGGGGTCACAGGGCTCGAGAGGCGATAACGGGCGTCTGTGGTTTGTGCTCTCTGTCGTCGGCCCTGTAGCTCCCACAATGGTGTCGTATGTAGGTATGGTATGGTATGGTATGGTATGGTCAGCCAAGGTAAGGCAAGGTAAGGTCAGGTACAATAGTCAATGAATGAATGCCCTAGGTAAGCTGTAACGTGGTGTGCGGTGCGGTGCTATACTGTGCCGTGCTGTGCTGTGCTGTGCCCTTGGTTTGTGCAATGCTGCGCAATGTATTGCAGTGCTGTGAAATGCTATGCTATGTTATGTTATGGTCCGCTGTGCAGCAGGTATAAACCGTCAACTGTACTGTAAAGACTTCCTGAGCCTGGTCCGGGATGGGCTGGGTTTGAGGGGCTGAATGGATAAGGAGCGTGGGCGTGCGGGTGTGGATGCGGGAAGGTCAGGGGAGGCCAAACAACCAAAAGAAACGGACACGCCGTGCTGCCGGCAGAGGCAGCCGAATGGATAATGATTGGAAGAGAAGAGAACGGGAGTCTGCTCAACGAGAGACTCGGTGAGGAGGATCACAGCGGCGGTTGAGCCGGAGGCTTGACCGGTTTAAAGAGGGGTGGACTGAGGAAGTCGGGATTTCCCTCTTTCTGGACTCTCGTAGCAGTTAGGATGATCAAACCGCAACAATCCGTGGTGCTGCTGACAGCCGAGTAAAAATAATCAGAGCAGACCGGGGGGGGGGGGGACATTCAATGTGGAGAGTGAGACCGCACGTGCAATTGAGAGCGAAAGAGCGAGAGAGCGGAGCGCGAGCGAAGGAGGCATGGGAGGCATGCTGCTGAGGCTAGGCTGTCCACTACGACAGCACGCTGCTGCTGCTGCTGCTGGGTTGGTGCGAGGGTAAGAAGAGGGTCCGAGAGTTTCCCTCATGCTCCATGTCGATACGGTTCTTATCCTGTCGCGACCAACAGGGTCATGGCCGATTGTTGTTGGTTGGAGAGGGCGAGGGAGGGGGAGGGATATTAACGTGGTCGTATGGTTGTATGGTTCCCATTCCTACGTACAGATGTGCAGATTACATACACGATGCTGGCTGGAGCTGGACTGCACCGGACTGGGTGAAGAAGAAAGAACATTCTACGACCTCCTCACAGATTACTGTAGTCACAGAGCAGCTATCTATGCCGCCGCCTCTGTTTGGCTGCCCACGCATCGCATTCCACGGAACCTGCGCACGGCACGACGTACCCCTAGGTAACTCATGTCTGCCATGTCTGCCATGTCTGCCATGTCAGCGAGGCCATGTCAGCGAGGCCAAGAGTGGAATAGAGCAACACCAAAAGCAAAGCCGAGGCTGAGATCCCCCTTGTGCCGCCAGATAGAATGGATGATCATACCACCACTCAGGTTCAGTAGCAACAGCGCGCATGCCTACCTATCCAGAGCCCTAGAGAATGGCGCCGTGCAATCGGAGGCTGGGGGCATCCAAAAGAAGGGTGCCAAGCAGAGCAAGCGTGTGAAGGGCGAGGGTTGCACGAGTATCTGATGGGATAGCTGGCGGAGCCGGCTTCATGCATCATTGGCATCAAGCAAATCACGTAGCGACGGATCTGGTCAAGTGACTGAGCCAGCTGTGACAACGCGGAAACATCTCACGTTTTGTCATCTCGAAAGCAACAAGCGACCCTTGGGCCCTCGTACCCTCGCGCCGTCGCTTCAACACTAGAGCAGGCGAGCACTGCGATGCACAGAGCCTACTTACATTACACTACGAACATGGCAAAAGCGCAAACGGGCAAAAGTGCCAAAAGAGCGTCGAGGGTCGTGCGTTGGAGATTCGGGAAGACGAGACGTCCAAAAAGGAAATGACTCCACACCCCCTCGGCAGGGAACAATGTGACGTTTTGGCACCGCCAGAGCGGGCCGAGTGCTAACCATCCGCAGGTAATCCGCCTTGGTGCTTTGATGACACGACAAACGAACAAGGGGGGTGCCGTCCAAGGGCCTTACATCGTGCATACCTACTTACTTACATACTACCTACTACCGGTAGTAGGTGGTATACAGTACCGGTAGTGTAAGTGATAGGCATGGCAAGTGGTGCAAGATTCGTAATAACGTCGAGGCCCATGTCTGCTACAGAAGCGGAACGAGAATGCAAGTGAGATAGCATACTGTATGTATATGCCCTGCTCGCGTTGGGGAAAAAGGAACAAATATCCCTCTTGCTCTCCGATATTATAAGTCAGTCCCGAGATTTCTCCTTGAATCACACCTGATCCATGACCTATATCAATCTTATTATCCTGGCTCTCTCTAGTATGCTACGGTACCGTACTGAGGAAGTATAGTAGGTATGTGTTGACGGCTTCTCTTTTTCTTCTCCCACTCTATGCTCCAGTGCTCACATATCCACCCCCGTATACCTAGGTATCCTCGATGTATGGCGAACCTCAACCCATTGCGCGAATAGCGAGCCGCAAATCCGGTATACGCCTTGTCCTGTAGTGTGCTTATAGGAGCTTGCTTATAGCTCTTCCAAATACAACACGGGCGGAAAATGTACGTGGTCCAGTGGGCGCACGTCGCTAAGCAGAGGGTAGGAATTCGAGTTATGAGGAGGGTATAGCAACCCTTGATTCGCCTTCAATGGCACTATATAATAACTATCAATTACTGAGTAAGTATAAAAGCAAGAACATGCCGCTTATGTCAGAGCTATTGGTATACACAATAACGGTCGAAACACGTCTTTCATCCCGAGCGACTCTATTGTGCAATACCATGCTACTCTAGCTAGCAGACTCTAGATCCGGGGACACTAGCAGAATCCCTCAACAGGGGTTGCGTGACGATGCCACTATAGTCTGAAGTAAGCCTTTCCCGGCGAATGAAACTGTTGTCATGTGCTAGAGGCTGACCTCGTGACCCCTATGCAAGATATCTTACCTACTTCAGAGTAAGGCTTGAGAATTGATTATAGAGGAATAGTCATGTCTCATCTCTACGAGTCGGTGAGAGGGCAGCGCCAATGAAACGCCAATAATGAGTTGTCGATCGACCAGCCTGCTTTTGTTTTGTGTCTGTTCATCGTTATTCGCAGGACATAGTGCCTGTTAGCTTCGTGACGGAAAATTGCCAAAAGTCTAGATTCCAGGTTTTGTTTTGGAAAACCTGCCGCGCTAGAAATGAGGCAAAATTGCAACGCAAAGAGGGAGGCAACATAGCACAGCACAGCACAGCAATGCACAGACCAGGCCTGACTGTGTTGTTGAATGGCATGTCCGTAATCGCGAAGATCACGTCATGTCGGTTGGAGTTTCTCACCGGGCTTTCGATGAGCCAATCAAACTTCTTTGTGGCTCCAAGCTATGTCAGATCCTTTGAGGGTTGGTTGCATGCAATGCCACAAGTCTAAAGATCTCTGCATATTACCTAGACAAGCGAGCTATTGGGTGCCTACCTACTACCGGTACCTACTACGTTTACACAGCATCGCCAGATCCTGTCTCGCACAGAGGATAAAATACCTACTTCGTACGAAGTACCTACTGCATTTCATTCTGTATATATCGTATTGTACTATACTCTTGGTATGAATGTCGTGCCTCCAACTATCTACCTACCTATACGAAGCTACATATCTGCGGTCTTATGCTTACATACTCGATTAAGTAACTATATGCAAGTACCTATACTTAAGTACTCACTGACATCTACCGATGCTACCAGTGTGGACAACCACGACTACGACCTACTTCGTAAGTCCAACCCAGAAGGGCATCGGAACCTGTCGGCGGTCTGCGGTTATGCAGCAAAGGTATCTCCGCAGATAGATCGCGCTAATGTGAAGGACCCGAAAAAAGCTTCACTCGCGTCTTTCTAATCCTTCCAGATCCCTCCGACGCATTGACTTGCCAAGAAGATAGTTCGGTGTGGTAGGGAACTGCTTACCCAGGTTGGCAGGTAACGATAATATGCAACGCACTAAGGCTAAGGCTTCAACCTCTCTCGAATGAGGGACTGAGGAACGTACGTAGTAGATACCAATGGTTGCTTTGCCGCTGAGGCCGAGGGCTCAATCAAGCACATTTGACTCTTAAAATCTACCAAAACACATCTCACTTGGATTTTAAGAGAATAAAACCTATCGAAACAGTGGATGTGCCATATCGACTTACCTGTATTATATGTAATGTATGTGTAACCGGTAGTGTGCTGTATCACCAAGTCCTACTTATCCAGGCCACCTAGGTTAGCCGCACATGTACCCTACATTGGCCGCACATCTACTCCATTTAAACTAAAATAGCCACACCATATAAATAGCATATAATTCATACTATAGGCCAAATCCTAGCAATGTATCTAAGGCCTATAAGTACATTAATTTCATCTAATATACAAAAAGTGAAAAGTAGGCTAAGCCCGGTTATAACCTTCTATAGCTAAATAGTTAACCATTAAAGTATATCTATCGATTAATTAAAGGGAAGGGGAATACTATATATATTTATTATTACTATCTTCACTTTAAGAACTTTAAACCCTTTAGTTAAGCAAACCTAACTTACAACATTACCTAATATTTTTATATCATAAATCAAGGGAGCTATATAGCCTTATTAAATATTAAATGTTAAATATTAAAGTTAAATCGAAAGGTTTTATAAGATCTTATTATTACTATTTATATATTTAAATAAATAAAAGGACCAGCCTATATTAATATTTATATAATAGATTTAAATATAAATATTTAAATACTTTAATTAAAACATTTTAAATTATATAGTAATTATATATAAATAAAAATTATAACCGCTATATAATAAAGCAATAATTTTAAAATAATAAAGCTAAAATAGCTTACCTATTCCTATTTATAATAATAATAATAATATACCTTAAAGCTTAATAGCTTAATAGTTTAAAGTATAACTTTTTATTAAAAGGAGTAAGGTTAATATTAAAAATATAGGTATTTAATTTTAAATATATATAAAGGTTAAAAAGTATCTTTAAAATCTAATAAAGGTTAATTAATTAAGGTTAAATAAATATATTATAATACATTAAATAATTAATTAATTAATTAAGATTAAATAGGTATACTATAATATATTAAATAATTAATTAATTAATTAATTAATCAATAAAGGTTAAATAGGTATGCTATAGTATATTAAATAATTAATTAATTAATTAATTAAGGTTAAATAAATATACTATAGTACATTAAATAATTA